GAAGGAGATCAGATCCAGTCAGCCACCGCGCTGTGCAATGCAGGGCCTTCTGAATGGCTCTGGTATTCATGTGCACCAGATGCCCCAACAAGGTCTGCGATGTGTTAGTTTGATGTTCTCAAGTGTTGGGTCAGATTGGGGTCAACTCACAAGTATGAAGAAGAAAAGGAAGAGTTGGAAGGGGAGGGCGAATCTTATAGTCCAGACGCGGCTAGCGGGAAGCGGGAATTAGTCAGCCCGCGACACGAGTCAGGTGCGATCTCCAAAAGTGAGCTGTCACATGAATATCTTGGCATCAACCATTTCCATTGTTGCTCTTTCTTCAGTTTGATGTCAGCTCTTCGGGTTTCCGCTGTCTGCAACAATCACAGCAGGAATAACAGAAAGCTTTTTCTGTCACCATGATTTTTGCTCACATGCCATGGCGAAACCCGTCCCGAGGCAACAACACGTCGAAGAATTATCACGAAATCACGGCCGTCCGAAAGGGCAACTCCACTCCTGCTGCTCGCAATGCGACGCTTCGAGCGTCGCCTTTTGCTTAGCTTTCTCTCAATAAGTCCCAACAACCTCAGGAAACAGTTCCGTAGAATTCCGATCAACCAAGATGAAGTCTTTTACGACTGCAGTACCATTTTCCAGCATAGCGATCTGCTCATCTGTGCAGCCCTCTCCTGGTGACAAGGTGTAGCAGTAATCCAGTGCCGGTTTCGGGACCTCCCGTCTCATATCACGAATATTCTGTGGCCCATTTGTCTGATATCTTTCGCTCATTTGAATCTTGCCAGTAGCGATGTCCAGATTGTTCAGAGCACGATCGAATACACGAAAAGCAGTCTCACGTTGATATGCTGCAACCGCCAGTGGAGCATCGTACACAAGCGAGAAGGAAAAGTTCCCATGTTGCCGGACTTGCCCAGCAACGGTGCAAGAAGTGTTGACGCTGATCGGCGCGTAGCCTGCGGAGCGGAATTGAGAAGCATGGGCATAATTTACTCTGAGAGAGAAGTTTTCTCCGGCGAGCCAGTTCTGTGCGACAAGATTAGCCTAAGTTGGAAACATTGATGTTGAAACAGACTCACACAGCCATAACTACGATCGCCATACATCAAATGGACTTTGATTCCACGATCGAGTAGGTATGCTATCCTGTCAGGATTCCGATGAAAAGCCTGTGCCGTAGACAAGGAAGCGTTCCTGACTGCTTCGGAGTACGAAGTCCAGTTCAAAGGTACACCAAGGTCGTCTTGTACATGCGGATGGTTGAGATAGCCTTCGTAGAATTGATCGAGAACACGGCTATTGCGCGAAGTGAAGTCGAAGATGTTGCGGCCAGAGACGTCTAAAGGTAACTGCCGCATCTGTTGAAAGTGTTAGTGGGCAACCCAGAGTGGCACCAATGAGGGAGATATCTGGATGTGTTACCTTGTTACAAAGCTGATTAGCATCTGCGCAGACTTGGTTCACCGATGCGTTGGCTCCTGTTCCTTCACGATCGTAGATCTGAGATAGATTTCCGCATTTCCAAAGCTGGTCTAGGCATCCATCTTGCTTGTACAGCATATCTAGCATTTGACCGCGAATCGAAGCGTTGACGATTTCTATCTCGTAGGTGTTGTTCTGCACGATCTCTGGGTATGATTGGTACATCATTGGATCGGTGCATGGGCTTGTCATAAACAGTGTGTCGAGAGTCAGTACCATTTGTTTGCTCGCGCTCTGGCCATCTGTATTGCGAATACGTTCGTTCTGTCGCTCGAAATATTCGAAAAACGTCGGTCCAGACGAGCCACCATCGGTCGCCAGATTGTATCTCCTGTCTTTCGGCTCGTAGTGAGGAAACTCCTGCACCCAAGTTTGAAGGAAGTGCCACGTGCTGGCTGCTGCAGCAGTGAGAGTGGACACCACGTTTGTCTCTCCTGGTTTCGAAAAAGTTCCCACAAGAGATGTTGTGTTCTGCTTGGGGATCTCGTCTACATTGTTCAGCTCGGTAAATTCGTTGCTCACAAGATCCACAGTATAGTTCTGCAGAGAATTGTAAGAGAATCCAACACTGACGGGCTGATCCAAATACAGCATATTCGAGTCTGTGTTCCAAGACCATGAGTTCAAGCTGGTAGAGTTGGAATCCGGTTCGACAATGCATGGGCCATTGAGGACAAGTGGGCCTGACAAGGGAGACACGCCAACTGAGTGATATCAGCATCAATGGCACCTCCCGTGAATCTTGTACTTACGTCCACCCAGTTGGACGATTGTCAGAGGCGCGTTCCTGGGATCCTTTCGGCTTTCGAAGAACCAGAAAAATGTGTTGATCGGATCGGTCTGCTTAAAGCCGGAGTCCAGTAAGGTATCCGGAGGCAGATGAACGTAGCCTGCATATGCATTCACGCCCGGAGTGGTTTCGCAGATCGTCGTTTTCTTATAGCTAATGAGTGTGTTGCTAGAGTGCGCCTCGATGACTTTGACGCCACGAGGTGGTCCTGGAAACTGCCCGAAGCAGGGCAAAGCCAGGCAGACCACGCTGATCAACTTCAGCATTGCCAAGTGTAATTGTTGTGAGTGGCTATATCGCGAGATTAGATGGCAGACAGCGATTGGCAAAGTCGCGAGGGAGCCTTTATCAACATTCCTGGTGGAGATGTATGCTTGTCATGTCTTCAGAGTCCAACGTGCCTCCGCAGCGACATCGACTGCCGAACAGCGATACAGGCACTTTCGGAAGTGCCGCAGCATGTTGTAGGAAAGTAAGTCCCTAATGCGGTAAACGCATGTTCTAGAAATGCAGTTAGGGCAGAGCAGTGCACGGGTAAAGCGGTGCATGAAACGGAGGCCTGCTTTGTATATTCCTTGGCATAGCCGCATCGATGCATGCCTCCTCTGCAGTTTCAGCTGAAATTCGGCTTATGGCATTCGTTTTCCAATTGTTGACTATCTATGGTCGAGGTGTTAGTTGCATATTTTATGAGTTTGTAGCAAGTTATTAAGTCAGCGAATTAGTCGATCATCTCCTCAAAACCAGCTAGCCCCTGTTTCTCATTATGGAGACACGGATCAGCAGTGAATTTGCCCGGAATCTGAGTGAGAAGGACCGGAACAGGATTATCAAAGTCAGGCCAAGCCGTGGTCATGAGGAAGGCACTTACGCCGAGTCTCGTTCATGAATTTGGCGCATCATGTAATCTCGTGTCTGCAGCTAGAGCTGGGCCATGCCACCATTCGAGTCCACTGGAGCCATACGAATATCGTATTTCACCTCCAGCTTAGCTCGGGAATCACCAGTGTGCTCCGCAAAGTTGACCACCAGCGAGTCGTGAACTGCGCAGACGGCATCATTTTCTAAGTACTTGCTCTCAGCATCGTAGAGCTGCGTTGTGATAGGTTGATAGCCTTCCTTCAGGACCTTCACAACACGAGATTAGTCGATGGCTGACGAGTGACAATGTCTTCCATACCATGAAGTGTATATGCGCTGGACGAAACGCAGGCTTGTCCATCAACTGAAGTAATTTACCAGCTGGACCAAGCGACGGTATCGGATATGGTGTTGGTCGAATGGCGTAGAAAGAATACTCGCCGTCTTCACCGGTAACGAACTTTCCGCAGAGGTTATGAGCAGCCTGATTCTCGTCTTGTTGTTCGTAAAGTCCTGACTTCTTGTTGGTCCTTCTACTGCACTTGAGGTAGAAACGTAGACCCACCATTCGTGGATGCCAACCACACATCGATGACAGCATGAGCAATCGGCTTCCCGGTTCGTGCATCAAGAACCTTCCCATAGATGAAAGCAGTCTCAGCTCCATCGGCCGCTGTTTCTTGGATTGACGTTCCCATCTCGCGGACAGGATGATCTTTCTGGAAGAAGGGCCCCATGATCGCGCTTTGAGTGACTGCGTCTCCAGCTTTCGAGACTTTTTCATGTGCGATTTGATCCATCAAGCTGAGTGTGATGTCAGTACATCTCAACCCTGATTATCTCGTCCATCCCACGTACGATTCTACCCCGAGAATACTGCATGCTGCAAAAAGTTCGTATGGTTTGTCGTCGTTCACATGTACGGCCCACCTCAGAAACTGTTCGATTTTAGCTAGAGATACCCCGCAGCTATTTTGGGGTGAATTCACATCTATACTCTCCATCAATTCATCTGCTGTCAAGCCTGTCTCTCGTATAAAGTCGTGAAGATGGGAGATAAGACTAGTCATGATCTCTTTTGTTCTCGGCTGGGTCTTTGGGCCCATTGCCGCAATTGTACGGCTAGTGAAGTCTCCGTCCGGGCCAACTGCCTGCGTAACATTGGCGGGGAGGGGAAAGCCATTGCAGCGTTGCGCCATTCTTCCACCTATGAGATTTGGAATGGCATATGGGCAATGTAGAGATTTGGCTAGTAGCCAGGTAGACGTAATGTTCGGGTCATGTCCTCTCCTGAGTGTGCACGAAATAGATGTGTTGCGAGAGCGACACACTCTCTCTGAGTATCAGCTGCCATGTATGCCAAGGAATGTCCAACTTCGTTGTATTGTCCCAGCTGAACGTGTTGGTGCCAAGATGTTTTCCAGGATCGAGTGTTTCTAGAATTGGTACGCCGGGGGTCGGTTTATGAATTCTGAGGAGCATTGGGAACCCCTGCGAACGCACACAGCTCTTTCGAGCACGGAAACGGTTTACCCGTCTACGTTGGTACTGGTGTACTCCTTTCGTTGCAAGGGCTCACTGTGCATTATCATGACTCTGATCAGAGTCATCGGTAGTTCGCATATGTAGTTCGTCGTGCCGAAGCTTCACAACAATCGATCGGGTTGCATGTGGAATGGCAGATCTGGAACTCAGGTAGGTTTGGTCGTCATCTCGCATTGTAGGTCTGCCGAAACAGCAGTCAATGTTTCTGCCTAGATCGTCTTGCCAAGCTCTTCTGCATTAGTTGTGAATGGAACATGGCCGGCTGGCTGATCGTTCCGATGCCCGCATCATCGTGTCATGCGATCGAAGATCGCGAAGACAACGTGTGTAGGTAGATATGAGCGTTTGCATGCCTTTGGAGACCACATCAAGGCCTCAGTACTTCCCAGTCAAGAAATTGCTGTTCTCTCCAGGACACTTGATTCCGTTGTCACTCAAACTTTTGCCTCGCCCTGGGAAACGGTCACATTCTTCGACTTCGCGATCATGGCTGCTTTCAAAGCCGCCATCAAAAAAGGCAGCGCAACACCAGAGGAGGCGTATGCCATCTTCGACGCTCTCGAAACCGTACCGATCGACTTCATGCTCGGCACCTGGAAAGGCTCCGAATTCTACACGGGTCACCTCATGGACGGCAAGTTGGAAAGTTCCAGCTGGTATGGCAAGAGGTTCAACGGGGTTGATCAAGTCGACCCACTTATGTTCAACGCAAATGATGGAGGCATATTCGCGTGTGATCCAGTCGCCGCTTTCATGAACGCAGAGGCTAGAATTCCTGATATTCAAGAAAAGGTAGAAACACACCAGCCAGCTGCCCGCTTGCGGACAGTGGTTACTCGTGGCGAGCCGACTGCTGCGATGATATATAATCAACTCCCTATCATCGACTTCTTTCGCAAAGTGGACGATAACACTGTCCTCGGCTTGATGGACAATCCAACGATTCCAGGACACAACTTCTTTTTTGTACTTCGCCGCGCTGAGAGTGGGTGATGCTGGAGCTAAGAGGGCTGGAAGGCGGAGCATACTTTGTATGACGGACTTCGCCAGCTTTCCTCGATTGCAACATTTTGCACATGTGTGCGTATGTATATGTGCGTTTGCTCAAAAGTCGAATAGGACAACAGAGAAGACGGAGTCAACCGTGTCGATAGGACTTATCACTTTAGATACGTTCAATGGTTAGTCGTTGGCCTCCTGTTCGGCTGCCTTCGCAGTAACGTGATGAAATAAATGACTATTGACGACCTTCGACTCTTCGAGTGGGCCATTTCCCGAGAGGAAACTGCACGAGTCGAAGCGAGCCACACTGAGCGTCGGGATATGCTTGCTCCGTCCCCAGGCGTTCATCTTGGCGTTGGTGATTGTGCAGAGGTTGGGCCTTGGCGATGTTGGTACCGAAGGATACTCCCTGTATCGGATGATATGCCGGTCGTATCGAACCCGACGAGCAAGCATCATCGTCAAAATTTCTGGACCTACTACAGTACAATCTGTCACCTGCATTCGAGCATCGGATAGCAGGGTACAAGTCGCTCTCTGGGCATTTGCAGCCCTTTTGACGGCCGGTTTAGGTCAGCCTATTGGCAGGACAGCCACGAAAGGTTCTCGAGCTTATGTTCCTTGAACTCACGTTTGCAGATGACAGACTGTAGCACCCTTAGCTTTGCTCCTCGGGAGGCATCCCCAAGGAAGTGTTGAGAAGATAATGAACCTTTCCGAGCCGAACATCTTCGAGATGTCCGACGAAGCCTAGAAAGTTCCTGTTTTCTGCAAATGCACAAGAGATCATTCAGCTATGGTTCGGGTGGCAAACACGAGCGCGACCATCATGGTACCTTCAGCTGAACGAATGAATGGGTGAATTCTGGAGTGCTCTCGGATGAAACCCTTCAGCGGTATTGGAAATCGGGTCTTGCACCCTGTGCTACCAGCCTGGCTGAACACGGCTTCTCGGTTGCTTCTCGATGAGGCAACTCTCTGTAGCAATGATATATTCATCGTTCAACGCAATCTGAAAATGTCGACATTGCGTGTCCTCATAACAGCATTATTTGCTTTGTTGCCCGGCCGTGTGTCGAGAATCACGCTTCGACGCATATTGAGAAAGCATGATGAAGGACGCAAAGAGCAGCGTGAGTTTCCAGTATTGGCCGCCATGAGTGACATTATATCGCTGACCAGACATCGCAACACAGCGGCTCATGGACCAGGAGCAATATGTTGATCTCGTCCCAGGTACCGAGTTGATGATAGATGGCGACTCAGATCTGCTAGTCCCACAGCCTTCAGACGATCCTCACGATCCCCTGAACTGGAAAGGATCTTGGAAAGCCATGTGTATCGCAACCAGCACAGTGATCTCAATCACTCAAGGCTTTGGTCCTCTGGCTCTGGCTCCCATGTTTGGTGAATATGTGAAAGCGTTCGACTCGAACCTTCACGATGTTGTGAAGTTCACTGGCGTGTGTATCCTGGTCCTTGGATTTAGCAACTTCATCTGGTACGAACATCTCTCGCTCGAATTTCACGAAGACCTGGCTAACCGTTCTGTTTCAGGGTTCCGATTAGCACGACTTTCGGTCGACGGCCAGTGCTGATTTTCTCAACGATCATTTGCCTGATTTCATCGATATGGCGTGGCCAAGCAGCTTCGTACAATTCCTTCATGGGCGCATGTGTCCTGAACGGTATTGGAGCCGGCCCTGCCGAGTCTATCCAGCCTGCTGTTATCGCTGACATCTTTTTTCTCCGCGACCGAGGCTTCTGGAACACCTTGTACTGGGTGGCATATATGGGTGGTATGATGATTGGGCCGGTAAGAGATATCCGCTCGGAGTGACATTCGACTCAAAAGTAATTGTGAAGTACCGAACTGGCTGATAAGAATCTCTGTGCAGATCGTGAGTGGACCGATGGCTCTGCATCTAGGCTGGCGCAGCTTTTGGTGGCTGAATTCAGGACTGCTCGGCCTTTCGCTGCTCATGGTGATATGCGAGTGACAATCCGCCTGTGGCCGAGAGTCCAACACTGACTGCGTACATAGTCATGTTTCCCGAGACCAAGTGGCATCGCCAAAATCCCTTGGAGTGTCGCACTTCATCACCTGCATCCATGCAGAGCGATAGCAAGACTGCAAGTAGTGCTGATGCGATCGAGGTTCGTGCGCAGATCCATCTTTGTCGTACATGCCAAAGCTGACCACTATCAGGACTCGGAAAAGGAGACTGGACAAATCGACTGCACTGCCATTCGAAGCGCCTCAGAGCCAGCAGCGACAGCGTGCCGTTATCCTTCGCTTGGCAAAGGAGCGCCTAGCTCATCTCAATGGGGCATTTATACTCCCACCGCCAATCCATGGAAAAGTGTCTTGCTCGATGTCTGGATCCCATGGAAGCTGTTCGCCTTTCCAATCGTGGAGTTCGCGTCGTTCGTCGTTTCTTGGTCTTGCAGTTTCTACTTGACGCTCAACCTTACGCAAGCACAGAATTTTGCAGCGCCGCCATACAACATGAGCTCGCAGACCATCGGATTCTTCAACTTCGCAATTGTAGTGGGCGCGATGATAGGGCTTGCAACAGCGGGTCCGCTCAGTGACTGGGTCAGCGCGCGATCCACGAAGAGAAATGGCGGAATCCGTGAACCGGAGATGCGGTTGCCGGCGATGAGTATGTTTCTTCTTTCGATCGGGAAACCACTAACTGACTGTGATTAGTACCTTACGTGTTGATCATGATCTTGGGCAACTTCATCGTCGCCTTCGGCTATGATCGGAAATGGTCATGGGAGATCATCGTCCTCATCGGGTACACCTGCGCTGGCATTCAGGTGGCAGCCCTGCCAGCGATTGTTACGACATATGCTGTCGACTCCTACAAACCTGTCGCTGGCTCAATCATGGTCTCGATTACGGTCAACAAGAATGTCTGGGGATATGGTTTCGCGGAGTTTATTACGCCGTGGGTGATCAGATCTGGGTTTGTGCCTCCGATTATGACGAACATGTCCTTAATCACGCTGTGGTGCTTGTTCGGGTTTGTCTTCTTCTTTCATGGGAAGAGGTGTAGGACTTGGAGCAAGAATAGCTCGGTGCATAGGATCTGAATAATCTCGATATCGAAGAGCAATTCAGTACTTTCGCGGAATTGTCTGGATTGACATCAGCCGAAGTCAAATGGGACACAAAGTCCGAGAAGCCGCGCCATTTCTGAAGGCCAGTTGTGAGACCTTCTCTCAACGGGTCATGGCCGGAGTCTGTGGCAAGTTGCTGTGCCGCATTCCTTCGCACGGACAAAGCTGCCAGAAAGGTTTCATCGAGTCGCAATAGTGCCTCTCCAACACCATGGAAGGGCGGCTACGATCATCGGGTGATAGGAGCTCGTTCCTTTAACCGAACATAATCCGAAGCGAGAATCGTAAGCAAACGCGCCTCGCGTTCTTGGCGACTACTCAAAAGGGTATCCTCAAAGCGGCGCAGACTTGCTCCAGCAAAGCTCTTTCGAATGTCCAGTTGCAATGGGCGCTTCTCGATCCTGAATTAGGCTGAGGCACAGTTGCAATGTGCTATATTCGACCTGTGTTGGATGTGCTGAACTCTCCCTATTGGCTCTGTTGCTTGACTGAGTGCTGTTTAGCTGAGCGAAATTGACGCTTCTCAATGTTGACAGTGGGCCCGCTCTAGGTAGCACTGGCTCCTAGCAGAACCTCTGCGCGAGTTCTTTCGTTGTTCGGCCTGGTGGCGAGCGATACGCTCAGAATAAAGTGGTCCAGCGATGCGGACCTAGCTGGCACCGAGCACCGCTGCCGGGCATCAAGTTTGTTGGAAGCTCTGCGTATCAAGGTCAGATACTCTCTGCGATGATGCATAGGTAAATCACATCAACAAGATACGAAGCAGAAGGAATAACAAATACAGATACAAAGCTTTGAGCTCATCAATGTGGGTACCCTCCATGCCTTGCCAGAATGTTGTGCTGAAAAAATGCAGAAATCATGTCCAGCTACAAGCTTTCTATAGTTGTTTATGGCATGGGCACGGATCCGAACAATCGATCGCATTGAGGACTGGCCATCCACGCACCAGGGGAGACTCACGGAGTCTTGCTACATGTCTTGATGATCGACAATCAAAATTTGATCTATCAGTTTGACCTTCGTTCCGGGGTGTTGGTTCGGAGCAGAAGCTCCGAAGGATCTTTCGAAGTCTGCCATTTGAACCGAGAGCAGTCTCGACGGGCGATAAGAACCATACAAGAAGAGCCTGCTCCTCGTGATGGAGTGGAAAGGTGCCAGGATTGGGTATTGAGGGCCATCATAGCTTTGGAGGCGGAGGAATTGGTGCCTTCTGGAACATCTGACTGGATATCTGGCCTCGTAGGACAACCCGCGGAAGTCGTAGCGCGCGTTGTTGGCTCGCGCTGGACTGAAACCGATGCATGAGGCGTTTAGGTTTCATGTGAAATCATATAAATGTGTGGCGTATCAAGGCGTTGTCCAATGTTTGCATCATTTCGAAATGCGCTCGCTCGCTGGGCTCGAAGATTTCATCGAGCGCTTTTTTCCAAGTGTCGTTTCGAGCACGCATCCTTGCTTCGAAATAATCTCTCCCCGGCACACTGAACCCCGCAGCTTCCCAATCAACGAAGCGTGTTATACACGCCGTGCTCGGGTTCACAAGAATGTTTCTGAGATGCAAGTCTCCGTGTGAAAAGATCTTCCGCTCGTCTGTGTTTCCCAGAATTTTCTCGATCAGGATCTCGTCCTCTGCCGTTAGTACTCCGCATGGTCTAGAGTTTCTCAATGCCATGACAAGACCTTCGTTATACTGCTGTCGAGAGGAATACAGCCCATATGAGACTTTCCCAGGCTTACATGGCAAATGCATGAACCAGATGTCCTTGCTCGCGCCTTGCCAAAGCGAACCGTAGAAATCTCCATGGAGAGAGCCGAGCTCTCGCATGTACATCCGCAATTGGTCGATTACTTTCGTCTTCTGTGCAGAGTCGAATGTCTTCCAGAGAGAGCCAAGCCGTTCGCCAGGCAACCTGCTCATGAGGATGTAGCCATTACCATCTTGGGTATAGGCATCAATGACTTCAGGCACAGGTATGCTGGTGTTGCGAGCGACGAAGCGCATAGCCTCCGCCTCACACATCTCCACGCTGGCGCCGGCCTTCAGGATTTGGTCTGTCTCTCGGACAATGTAGATGCTCGGGCCCATGCTAGCAGGAAACAAGAGTTCTGCGCCATCAGGCACCACGATTTTGCCGGACTTTGACTGGAGTGCATCTTCTATCAAGGCATCAAGGCCGTCCATATCGCCGGTCCAGCTGATCCTTTTGTGGCAGGCCACACCTATGACCGTGACCGCACCCAGAGCCGACGGCGATGAGTTTGTGTGGCGGCACGCGAGATGGCGAAAACCCGCAAAAGCAAATTAGTGATCCGCTTTGCAGTGTCCAAAAACGATGTCCTGACCCCGGTGGACGTGGAGGTGAAGTGAGCGATACGACGGAAGCTGTTCTGATGTGTTCTGGGGTTGCCAAGCTCCATCGCAAATGCCTCTTCCCAATCAGCTGGACCGTTCACAATTTGTCAAGAGACATCTATCATGATGTCCACGTTGACCCAATGAAGGTTATACCATCCTCAGGTCCTCTTCCGCCCCCGAATGGCTCTGGAATCACGGTGGTGGCTCCGACGCGAAGCTGTCACGGCCGACCCGCAACAGCGACGTCATGCCACCGTCCACATCAGCTCTCGAACTCTCTCATGCTCATGCTCTCACCTTTGCATCACTACGAAGAACTAGCAAAATGTCGCTACATCGCACGGTAAGTCACTACTCTCAGCTATTCTCTCTCCTTCAAATCCACACCAATCTCTCTGCCAATCTCTCGTACTCCTTCATATCCTATTACAGTACACAACCAGTCACCATGGACAACCTCGAGAGAATTCCGCTTGCATACGCTTCTTGTTCGATAGGCACGAACCCCCCAAGCAGTGTCCCCGACCGTCTCGCCGCAATTTCCGCCGCAGGCTTCCAAGCCATCGAACTTAGCATGCCCGACCTCGTCTCCTTCGCCAGCACCAACTTCAACAGCAACGACATAAACGACCACTCCTTCTCCAAACTCGAATCCGCCGCCCACGAACTCAAAAAGATCCTCGATGAGAACAAATTGAAAGTCTTCATGATGCAACCCTTTGCAAACTTCGAAGGCTGGCCACGCGATTCTCCGGAATATAAAGATGCTTGGGAACGCGTGGAAGGCTGGTCCAAGATTATGAGCGCTGTGGATTGTGATATGCTACAAGTCGGGTCCTCTGATAGTCCTGAGGAGAAGATCGGGAAGGATCGGTCACGGTTTGTCAAAGATTTGCAGGAGTTGGCGGATCATCTTGCACCTAGAGGACAGCGCATCGCGTACGAGAATTGGTGTTGGAGTACGCATGCGCCTGATTGGGAAGATGTATGGGACATTTGTCAAAAAGTCGATCGTGAGAATTTTGGGTTGTGTTTGGATACTTTCCAATCAGCTGGAGGAGAGTGGGGAGATCCGACTACGGAATCTGGTATGGTTGAGGATGGGAAGCGGTCACAGGAAGAAGTTGAGAAAGATTGGAAGGCTAGTTGTGAGAAGCTAGCGAAGACTATCCCTAAAGAGAAGATCTATTTGTTACAGATTAGTGATGCTTATAAAATGGAGACGCCGTTGGAGAAGAAAGAGATTGATGGACTGAGGCCGAGAGGAAGGTGGAGTCATGACTTTAGGCCTTTGCCATTTGAAGGATATTTGCCTGTTGTGGATTTCACGAAGGCGGTTCTGGAGACGGGATTTCGAGGATGGTTTTCGTACGAGATATTTGACGGGGGCAAGGATGGGAAGTGGGAGAACAAGTACGAATTGGGGCCGTTTGCGAAGAAGGCAATGGCCTGTCAGAAGAAGCTGGTAGATGCTGCCGTGAAGGCGGGTTGAGCGTTATCATGCTCTCGTGCATGTCGAGTGGATGGTGGCGACAACGTAGTATGGTGTACTCGGAGAAATGTGTTCACAACTGTGGACGTTTAGAGAAAGATATATCTTTTCCGTACGCTCACCTTTCCAGACAACCGATTGCTGAACACGGCGAAGCAAACATGGCAACAGAACATCCCGCATTGGAAAGCTCTCAAGCAGGAGATCTTCTCCTCGTCATCTCTACAGGACCAAGCAGCAATGCCTCAAGTTCTCCTTTCCCGCCAGGACCAAGTGCGGCGACTGTCCGTCTCTTGCTGATCGACTCCGGCCGCTACATTGGCTCCATGGATCGACGCACGACCTATGTGCGCTCTGCAGATCTCTCCCCGCAGGATTGGATCAACTATCAACGAGATCCGCCAAATTTCTGGCTCGAGACCCGTCGAGAAACTACCTCCGTGCCACTCGACGACGTTTTGTCCGACACTGATCGAGTCATCCTTCGACCGAGTTTCGATACTCTTTTGGGATACTTCTTCAAGGGAAGTTGTCCCTTCGAACGGTGTGAGCATGGCCTGGTGGTCATTGATGACACGACGAGGGCAGTATTATCGGACTTTGCAGAACCCGCGACAAGATCGCCAGACAGCGAGAGCAGGCGGAGAGCCAACTCACAGAGGCCCAGAACTATCGCGAGAACTTTGTGTCCGTTTTGCATGGGTGCGACGATGTATCGAGATCATGAGGTGGCAGTGGCGAGGGCAGCGAATTGGAGAGGTGAAGATTACGAGGCGATTGTTATGAGAAACGAGGAGCATTTGGAGAGGATCAATGCGAGGAGAAGGCAGTTGGGTTATAGAGCCTTGGCAGACGATGTGAATTTGGCCTATCTGAGGAGTCCGGAACCGCGGAACGAGACAGCCCTCGCTGTTGTGGTGAGAGAAGCAAGTGATGGGCCGCAAGCGGTTGCGGGAGCAGAACTCACGCGGCAGGACACGTTGCTGCTCTTGCCGTGGTATGCGGTCCTCGATGGCTCAGCCGAACGGTCTGAGGTCTTGCGAAGTCTCAGCGGAGGAGTCGTGATCGTGGCCACTGATTCATCTGCTGGAGTCCAGATCCAAGTTCGAGCCGGCCCTTCGAATTCTGGAAGACCTGCAGCCGCGCTTCCAGGCCCTTCTCAAACGCCTGTATCGCGTCCACTACAGACACCTGGACCTGTCACACCGAGATTGAGGACCAGGGAGTGGTATATCAAAGCTACTCAGAGAGTGCTGGCGGAGGCTTGCCAGATCTGTCTGGAGAGATTCAAGCCTGGTGAGATTGTGGTTGACTTGCCTTGTTGGCATTTCTTTCACGAAGAATGTTGGAGGAATGTGGAGGGCAGCAGGTGTCCTTTCAGGTGCAATGAAGGAGTGGTGATGACTGAGCAGAACGACGAGAATGAAGAAGAAACTGATGATGGAGAAGAAGAGCAAATTGACGTGGAGGAAATCACTTGACGTCGATCTTGGCAGTACTTGTGGTATATTAAGCAGTGCTACGCATTTGCAGCTGTTATAGTCTGTGCTTTTTGTAGACGCGTACAATGTACAAGAACAAGGAGTATGTCGATGAGATGAAGTGAAAAGAAGTCGCCCAGCCCGCGTGGTGCTGAGTGGGGCATGTTTCAGATGGTGGTGCGCCAGGGTCTGCACGCGGGCCAATGCTGCAGTGATAATCGCAAGCTCGCTGAATTTCCTCGTGCCTTCTTCACCGCCGACCAGACATTTTCGCACAATGTCACGACAAGCCATCCACGAGGCGGCGAGCCAGAAGCCTGGCGTCTCGCAGGCCGAGGATGAGTTTGAGTTCATCCACACTCCCAAGGCGCCATCTCCCGAGCCAGAATCGCAGGATTACGGCGTCAGGACCACTTCGGTATATTGAGCTCATGCTATGCTGTGCTCTCCACGAATTGACACAAGAAAATGTAGTATCCAGCGATTATGAACGCTCCTCTGCCCGCAGACGGTCCTGGCAGCGAGACCTTCAACAATGCCTTCCTCTTCACCCTCCTCGCTGGCATCCCCGCCTATTTCGCCTACAAGGTCGGTGGTGGCCTCTTCACCTGGATCTTCTTTGCCATCTTGACCGCCATCCCTATCCTCATGGCGTTCTGGACAATCGCCTCGTCCATGTCTCCGCGTCTTAATGAGAAAGCCAAGTACCCAGGCCGTCCTGTCGAGCACTACCTAAATTTCAAGAGCGAGGAAGACAAGAGAAAGTATCGCGGCAAGAACAAGATCCCAATGGAGACATTCCACGAGATGTACTTTGACGAAAAGGTGGACTTCAATGGTGACTGCCTCGAGATTATGGAATACAGACACGACTGGGCCAACTTCCGTTTCACTCTGAGCCTCTTCTGGTTCTTCCTGACTGGAATGATGCCTGAGGTCATTATGCACACCCGTTCTCAAGACGAGGAGCAGGTCAGAGATCACTACGATCGTGGTGATGATTTCTATGGCTGGTTCTTGGGTCCTCGCATGATTTACACTTCTGGTATTATCTCTGACATCAACAAGGAGGAGAGCCTTGAGCAACTCCAGGACAACAAGCTTGGCATCGTCTGTGAGAAGATCGGCCTCAAGGAAGGCGAGACTATGCTTGATATCGGCTGTGGATGGGGCACTCTCGCCAAGTTCGCTTCAGCAAACTACGGTGCCTCCGTCACTGGTGTCACTCTTGGTCGCAACCAGACTGCCTGGGGTAACAATGGTCTACGAAAGGTCGGAATTCCAGAGGAGCAAAGTCGCATCCTCTGCATGGACTACCGCGACATTCCTGTTCCTGAAGGTGGCTACAAGAAAATTACCTGTCTTGAAATGGCCGAGCACGTCGGTGTTCGCTACTTCGGTACTTTCCTCTCGCAAGTCAACAACATGCTGGACGACGATGGAGTTTTCTTCCTGCAAATCGCTGGTCTCCGCAAGCCTTGGCAATACGAGGATCTGATCTGGGGTTTGTTCATGAACAAGTACATCTTCCCTGGCGCCGACGCTTCCACTCCACTCGGTTTCTTCATCGACAAGCTCGAGGGTGCCGGTTTTGAAGTCAAGGGTCTGGACACCGTTGGCGTGCACTACTCTGCTACACTCTGGAGATGGTACAGAAACTGGATCGGCAACAGGGATAAGGTCATTGGCAAGTACGGCGTGCGATGGTACAGGGTAAGCAGCAATTGACTTTTTTGGCGATGCCAAGATTTCGCGACCACAGCTGACGAATTTGACTTTCAGATCTGGGAGTACTTCCTCGCATACAGCACGATTATCTCTCGACAAGGCTCTGCGACATGTTACCAAATCACTCTCGTCAAGAATATCAACTCGACGCATCGTGTTGAAGGTATTCCAAATGCTTTCGGACTGCATGGTGCTCTGAACGCAAGCAAGGAGAAGGGCAAGGCTCTTTTCCCAGCCAACAAGCAGTAAAGGCCATTCACATGGCGATCGAAGACCCAAGGACGATTGCGTCACGATTGCGAAGTTGAGCGCAACACTGCGCAGACAATTCTGCGCGAAAATGGAAGTGCACAAAGCGACAGATAGAGCAAGTGCGGCAGCTGCACACGGATGAAGAAGTGATGTGCATATTCATGCTGCAATGAACCCAACATCTTTAATCATTCCTTTGCTTATCAAACTTCTCTTGCGAGGTTATACTACTGACGTCTTAGAGCCCGGCACTGCTCAGATGATTGAAAGGAGTCTTGCTAACGACCACAATTCGCGAATGCTGTGAACAGGCATTTCGAGATTGAAAGACTACTCAACACCAAGCGACAGTTGGAAGTCCGAGTCGACCACTAGCAACCCACCATACTCACGACATTGAAGACGAACATTCCGATAGTCGCGGCTGACGCAGCGAGACGCGGGCCATGGACCTGGAGGAGCCTTCTGGCTCTGTCGCGTTTCCTTGGTTGTCGCAGCTGAGCGATTGGAGCTAGAATCGGAGCCGGAGTCGAAGCTTGCGATGGGTTACTGAAAGCCATCGGACGAACAAAGCTGGACAGTCAAAGGTGTCAGTTTCGGGAGACCCCATCGAAGGAGATGATGCCGAGCTTACAGATTCGGGTCCTGGGTCTTAGACACAGAGGCTTTACTGCTTCCCGTCATTGGGGCCGTGGAGGGTTCTTCGTTTTTATTTGCTTCTGGCCGACCAGACTTTGCAAAGGTATGAGATGCTTCTCGCTGCATTGTACAGATATGAACAACGACGCTTCGATTTCCTGGAGTGAGGAGATGCGTAGCTCGGGAAGGATGGTTTGCGCTGGTGAGCTACTGGCAACGTCAGCTATTGGAAGACACCACCCAGAATGTATAGCCTCAGCTTCATGGCAATACCTATGCACCAGTAACTCTGGACTTTGGATGCTCTCGCCCGGTTCAGTCCTGTGTCCTCTGTCGGAAGCCATCAGTTCTTCGAAAATGATCAGCTATATACAGCATCGAGCTGTAACCTGTCTGTTGCTTGGCACATGTTGCCTGAATCGGCTAACATCTGCCAAGCAAGACTGACGCCGGCGAAGCAACCCACGAGACTGACATGCGTCCCTGCATCACGGACCCGTTGTCCAATGAGCATGTCGGGGACCTGTAACCTGTGCCTTTTTGTCGTTACGACACCAGGAACCAGTTAACCCAGACCGTTCAGGCCCGCACAAAGTAGCCAATCGCCTGAAGTGGTGGCGCATCCAAGCAACGCCACGAAGGAGGTGGAGGCTACGGTCAGATTTCAGGTTACAGGTTACAGCCTTGATGCGATTCAAGGCTGTACGCAGACAGCATCTTCCAGTCAGACTTCCTGAGCAATTTCATCATTTGATCAGTCTTTCTAACACGCACAACGTCCTCTCTCAGCTGCCACCATGGATCCCGTCTGGACATGCGACGAATGCAAAACATCATTTGATCGTTCTAAGCTTCTGGAGCAACATGCACAGGAAGCAGGCCACGCTGCATACCGATGCTTTGAGAGCGCTTGCAACAAGACTTTTCGAGCCCGGCCATCTTGGGTACGCCACGAGAAGAGTCATATCAACAAGGCGCGGTATACTTGCTCGCTGTGCAACAAGAAGTTTCAACGCAAGGACAACTTCGATGATCATGTATCAAGATGCATTCGTCGAGCGGGCAGAAGCAGCATTCTGGAGACCCCCATATACGACCGTGATGCTACTGAACGAGCACTTAATGATGTGCTTCAAAGTCTCATACCTCGACCCAAGGGCTCTCAGTTCAGATGCCCAATTCCTGACTGTGGCCAGCTGTCCACTGGGGTTGGGGAGATCCGCTATCACCTGCTTCTCCACATTGTTGAGGAATCCGTGAACGATGACAGCCCTATCGCACGTGCACTGGATTGTCTGCTTCCAAAGCGTAAGCCTCGACTCGAGGGCTCTATAGTTAGATGCCCGCTCGATTTCTGCCAGCTGCACACTGAGGCTTGGTATCTGCGAGCCCACTTGCTTATTCACGTGCGTGACATGGGACTCACTGTGTTAAGAGATCTGGGCCTAGATCGGAAAACAATCATGGAAGAGTATACATCGCAGGTGACACGAAGAAGGACCGCACCTGCACAAGCAATTGTATATGCACAAGACGCCGAATTGGCACAAGACACCGGATTGGCACAAGACACCGAACCTGTCCAGGGCACTGATTTGGTACAAATGAGCGCGGAACTTCCTCAGCCGTCTTTGGCAGTTGCGAGCCTGAGGAGAAATCTCGAGCAAGACACCACGACCACCAGAAACGTGAACATTAAGACAAGCCACAGTAACCCGGCCAATGTTTCGCTCATCGGTCGAGTGTTCGGCTCCCTGCAACAAAGTCCAGTGGGCAGCCTGATGAGCTGGAAGCCAATGTCCTGGGGCAGCTTAATACAACAGGAGTAAGTTCATCCACATATACTAGAGTGTAAGCAAAGCTGACAGTGAACAAGCACCAAAATGACTGGCACGACGCCTTCGAGCTACGACGTCTTTTCTGGCTCTCAGCTGGCCAAAGCGGAAGCAAAACACATGCGGGATTATGTTTGCTGTGGTATGCACTTCAAGAACCTGCACGAGCTTCTTGAGCACCACGAAAGCTCACATCCCATGAAATTTCGCTGAGCGCCACAAAGGGCCATCTATGATATGGAAAGCTACACTGCAAATATTTCTGAGGACGACCTGAAGGCGCGAGCAGGGTCTAATCTTGCAAACTCGACGGCAGCGGAGCAACGAAGACCTCGGATGGACAAGGCTTTCGAGTGACAAATTCGAGTACCCCAGAATCAAAAGCGTGGGCCTGTTCTTTGTAACCACAACTGTTGAGCAAGGGTGCTTCCATTGCAGAAGTTGCGAATACAGGAGCGGACACGCTTGGGCAGATCACGACGCCCTCGAGACACGAAAGGCGTGAGTCTCTACATCCGACACCGATGCCACTGGTCTTCGTCGACCGTTTGAGAAGCTGCGACCTGTCATATAAAGCCCGCATCTGGTCAGTAATCGAGCCATGTGCCGCGCGTATTGCAAGGCGAATGGCAGCAGATCGCAAGACTATCATATGCTGCCAATGGGATCTTGGAACGGAGACCTGGTATGCTATTCGCAGTAGCCTCGGTTTGTGCCTGCCCTGTGAAGGCGCTCCACCTTGCATATTGCACTGCTGCACGTTTTTGTGGACTGGTCTATTCTGCCGTGTCTGCTTGGGGGGCGAGTGGGGCGAGGGACATGGAGCTGTGAAGCTCTTGTATGGGATGCAGGGCATCCAGGACGCCAGCCAGCTCACGTTCGATACGCTGGCTTGTAGCGATCACGCACCCTCGGCATTTTATCACTCGATCTGCTGCGCTACAGAACCATGGAGCCTGCAATGCTGCCCTTTTTGGAGCTCAGCTACCCACCTCCGCTGCAAGATGCACACCTCATCGCTGCCAATATGCCGCACGTCGTAGCTTCGTTATCCGAATCAGGTCCGCTGCATATGCGAATCACAGGTTACAGGAAACAGGTTGCTGGTCTCTCTCTTTTGCAGACATTACGCCGTGGAGCTACTCATCTACACTATATCAAGCGTTACAACCGCCACACTTGTCATCACCTATGCATTGGACTCTGGCCTCGCTACAGAATGCCTTCTCTCTGGGCGCGCGATCAATGCAAGGCGCCCTATAGCCTTTCCAAGTTACTCGAACGACATGCGATCGTAACGGGCCATGCAGCATATCGCTGCTCACAGAAACACTGCCAAAAGTCCTTTCGAGCTAGACCATCTTGGCTTCGGCATGAGAAGAGTCATCGGAGTCATAAGAACCACATCTGCTCGGCGTGCTCAAAGAGCTTCCAACGTAGGGACAATTGCAAAGAGCACGAATTCAGATGCGTGCGGCGGGCAGCCGTCAAGCTATCCCATAACTTGACCTTCGGCTTCGGTATAAGTCAGCAGCCAGATATTGTCAGCGATGATAGCAGCCACGGCCGCGAGCCGTCTCTAGACACATCAACAGCGGCTGAAGTCATGCTGAGTCTAAGAAACTGCTCCGATGCCGACACCACAGCGCACCACAATTGCAGGCACGATGCACGATTCAAACGTACTGGGATGCTGGCCGTATCTTTCAAATGTCCACTGTCCGACTGTGACAAGACTCATCAGTATCTGGAGGGACTTCAATATCACTCGAGGCAGAGCACACGTGATCAGCGTATGCAGTGCTTTGTCAATGCAGAGCCTGTGGCAATGGAGTCCACACTATCCAGACTCTTTTTCGATGCGGCCTCCGCAAAATATCTCGCGGAGACAAGGCAAGGATACTGTACCAATCTGCGACCATCCGGCACAGAGGTATTTGAGACACAACAAACCCTCCGGGAGTCTGCTGTAAAGCGGACGACTGATGAGGCCGGCAACCATGGCATGCTTGCGTGCTGAGAGCGAGGTCTTCGTGGCGGCTTGCTGTTATCTGGCATCAGACACTTGCGAGGCACCAACCCCTCCAGGAGCCTGCTGTACAGCAGACGACTGATGGGCTCAGCAGTCACAACACAATTTGGAAGATACATACCCAGCTTCATTCGTTCGAACCTAGAAAAAAAAACCGGGCAGATCTGAGTGGAGTGGTAAGCAGTCACAACGTTTCAACAATACATACCAGATCAGTCCAGGCCAGACTCGTGGTCTGGCGTGGTGGTGAGGAAAAAATGTTGGTGACTGGAGGGAAGGGGAAGAGGAGAGAAGAGGGTGAGAGGTGCCGTTTTGTGTTGCCAGGTGGCTGACTGCTTTGCGCTTAGAGCTGTCGAAGAAGCTGTGAAGTTTCGAAACGGTCATACGCGCGCTGCGTGGGGCGAGTTGTTGGCTGGAACACGGCGTAGGCGCTTGAAGTGAAGTGAAGAAACGGTTAATCTGGAGGCACAATAGGAGCCAGGCGGTAATTCAGGCTTCGCGTCGCATTTCGAGGGAGCTTTCGCATACGAGGCTTTCAAATGCATCTGGCATATCGAGAGAATAAAAATCGTCTTGCAGCCAACCATCGAACGCCGTATCCACATTCACGGGGTGCGAGCTCAAGGACAACACTTCTTCCGACGAACGACGGGAAGGCCACATTAATCAAGTAGCACTTCGCAAGTGCGAATCACTTACGCTCCAAGTCTAATAGGTTGGCCGCGCTTTCTCATACTAGCCTTTGATCTCGAAAGCATGTGCTCATATACAATTGCAGCAGCTTGGCAACTTCAGCGATTTATCGTATTGCAAAGCTAAAGTGCTTGAGTAAATATATGTAACATGTGGAGCGAGAAAAGCACAGACGAGTTCTCCAAGCCCTAGGGAGGTCCATGCTCAGAGGCTGTCAGGAAGACATTGCGTGGAGCGCTTACCAGCACATGCGAAACAGACACCATTCATGGAAGCCCGCTAAAGTCACAATGGTATAATGTGTGTTTCGGATTGGTACCATTCGACAGAGAACGTCTTGGCAAAGTCTGAGTGAGGAAGTGAAGTGGGCCCCTAGCCATTCCTTCCAAGCTGAGCTTCTAAGCATCAGTATCCTCCTCATCTTCATCGTCAAATTCCTCTTCATCCGACTCTGCCATTTCGAATGCCGTCATCTTTTCGCCCTTTGCCTCTGTGCCAGCTTCAACGATAAACCCAGGCGCGACTTCACAATCCGTGAGCCTCGTCTTCTCGTCGTCGTCATCTTGTCGCTTCCCCCTCTTCTTTTCGCCTTCTGCACTTTCAGCAGGAGCGAGCTCTTGACGTTTCGTTCCTTCGATTCGTGCTCGTCGACCAATGATGCAGCCTACGAGTTGAACACCATCACCTACTGTTACGCCGTCCATGAGAACGCAGCGCGTGAGTCGTGCGTACGCTCCGATGTCGCAGTTGGCACCGATGACAGATTCTTTGACGATGCTGCGCATGCCCAATTTGACATTCTCGGCTACGAGGGAGTCTTCCTGGGAAACGCGAGCTTGTTGCTCAAGAATCGCGGTCGGGTGTACCTTGTGCTCATGTGATAGCTGATGGGCTTGCTGTTTGGCAAGATATAGCGAAATGTTGAGGAGTGCGTGTGAAGTATCGATACGCCGTATTAGGGCCTGTGGATTCGTGGGGGTCGGCGTTGGTTGGACATATGCTAGGAGTGGCGGAATGTCCAACTGTGGTCTTGTTATGGCGGTAGCCGCGCTCTTGCCAACTCGTGACGCAAATGTGGGTCTTGGCTTGTGTTCTGAGACCGAGATTTTCGTACTTGAAAGAGCGGCTGCATCGACTGAGTCGTCTTCGATCTGAGAAGCCTCCATATCCTGAGGCGAGGTCGGTCTCTCGCCCAGCACTTCATCCAGACCAAGTTTTTCGCCCAGACCATACTGCCACTGCGCTTTCGCCCACCAGCCCAGCACGTCTTCGCTGATTGACTCGAATGTGTTCTGAGCTGCGTAGTCCTTGACCCATTTGGGAAATATGTAGACGTGCGCATCGCGGTGCTTCATCTTCATCTTTACGAGACCGTACTTCGCCGAGAGTGATGATCGAAGCTCAAAGATCTCCTTGGCGTCTTCGATCTTGTCATTTAGCGTATCCGTAGGCATGGTGAGTATCACCTTCTCGATTTCGGAGCGTAACGAGCCTTGTGGAGGAGTAACTACAGGCAAGTCGAGTGGTACAGTGGCAACGAAATCTGTTTCATCCTTCTTATGACTGATCCATTCTAGGCCTTGGGTAGGATAGAACAAGGCAAGTCCTCCTTTGCGTTTCGTGCCAGAAAGAGGGTTCAATGTCATCCATTGTTGAATGAGCCTTGTACCTTCCAATTCGGAGATCAAGTCGCAGGGCAAGATAACAAAGTCGGATGTGATTGCTTGCTGTACTTCAGGTAGACGTAGCAGTTCACCAGTAGCACTTTCATGGCTGAGATCTTTCGGCGCCACGATATCGGCCTTGGGCGACGGCAAGCTTGTCAAAGCAGGATTAGTAGCAAGCGCAGATTCCAGCACTGCTTTTGATTCAGGTGGAGTGATGAGAGTGATGTCTGCAATATATCAGATCATATTGTAAAACTGTCAATCGGCGTCACTCACCACTAATTCCCATTCGGTGGCACCAGTCCATGGGATACCATACCATGGGCCGATTTGCGATTGGTATGAGAGCTTTTGAGGACTCTTTGGGATTTGATGTGAAAGTCGTCAATGATGCACCCGGACCACATAGAATGAGCGCCTGCAAGCCCGGCGAGGGCACAGTTGCGTGAGGCATTTTGGACATGAAATATCCCCAGATTCACTCCGCGGGCCGTGATATTGTGTTCGCTTCAGTTAGACGCCAGATGCTGTACAACAGCAGAACTTCCCTTGACGCATACAGTCTTCCGAATTTCTCTTGCATATGAAACGGTGGTCGTCCGGCCTCGTGTGATGTCGTCGTCGCTCGTCGGATATCTCGTGTCGGAACAGTCACAAGCAAAGTCTCGGCAAGTTTAGAGTTCGATTTGGGGACGATCCCTGGCACTAGCGAGCTTCCCTGCCAACATCTCCAGCCACCAGCGACAAACAAACAGCTGATGAGCGTCCCGCCTGCCACCTCGTCGCCCCTCTTCCACCTTCACCTCGCTGCCCGCGCGACGCCCATGTAGCGGCGACAGCATGTCGTACGACCGGAACATACGCCGGACGACCACCACACGCAACTCTCGTGGTCGTCCGCTCTATGCTCCACCTCCTCCGCCCCCCGGGAGCCACAATCGCAATCACTCCGTCCTCGGCTATTGGGTGCCTCTAGTCACGATTGGAACGATCGCAGTCGGTGGTCTGGCAGCTTGGATATGGAGCGAGCGCAGCGACAACGACGATGACCACTACCCGCACGACAAGCCGCAACGGCCACCCGGACCTGGAGGGCCGTATCCTACACAGGGCGCACAGCCATATCCTGGTGGACCACAAGCGCAGCCTCCAGGTGCTGGAGCTCCAGGCTATGTTCCACTGCAAGAACCGACTCAACCCCCTCCACCTGTGAGCGGAGATGTCACAGGAGCCAGCTACGGCGGAGGATCTGCCAGCGCCTACTACGATGCGAGCTCAACCACGTCGCGGAATGTCACAGAACGCAACGATGCCACATTTCTGGGAAGAGTGATGCGTAGAACGCCTAGTCCGCAGCAGTTCTTCGACAATGCTTCGAGGCAGGTCATGGGCGGCATGGCTGCTGCAGGAAAGGCGCTGGGCAGCATCATGGAGGTAGACAGCAGAGATCACAGCGAGGAGAGGCGACGACTGGATGAACGTGAGGGCTTCAGTGATCATGAAAGGTGGAGTGAAGAAGCCGAAGATAGGCAGAGAATCAATACTGTCGAGAAGGGAGGCAAGAACAGCGGCACAAGAGACACCAAAGGCACAGCGAAGCGCACAGTTGCAATTGTCGTCAGTGCAGATGTGGACGACCATGATACTGCGCATGAAGATGCATTCCGAACTGAGCACGGCGTAAGTACAAGCACAAGCATTGCTGATGCGGCTTCTGCTAACACGAGTCCAGTCCATCCTTTCGCATCTTCCAGAGGTCTTCAAGTCCGACAACACTGATCTCTTCGTCCTGATCTACGCTCCCAACCTCAAGAATCTGCCTTCGACCAGCGCATCATCTGTCCTCGGATCCTCATACTCGAACATCTCGACCCCAGCACAAACTCCTGGCAGCGAGCTGCAGTCCATCTCACCCCGCATCGACGCCACGCACCCAACTTTCGATAACCTGCAACAGCAGGCTCAGGCTCTCGTTGATCACCCAACAAAGATCATGCCATTCTCTACTCCAGCCGGCTACGTCAGCATCCTCCGACATCTCGCTCCACAGATCGTCTACATTAGCGACACCCTCTCTGGCCGCGAAGGCGAGACAGTCGCTCAGCTCAAAGGCTGGGTCGGACACACTGTTCTCGTCGTCGGAGACGAAGGCCATGGTGGTCTTGCTGATACCGAGACGGAGACGGAGACTGAGGATGAGAGAAAGAGGCAGAAGAAGAGCGATAAGAGATGGTGGGAACACTCGAGCATTGTCGGCCTCGGAAAGGAGATCGACGTTGTTGATGCCATGAGAGTTGGTGATGACTGGGCGAGACGAGTTAATGGACGAGAGTGAGCATTGAACCGAGCACAGGATATGAGAACATGCGAGGAAAAATGGACCTGAAAGCGGATATGAGTGTGTATAGTTTTGATTTTTTTGCTCGCGTTTGACGAGGGCTGTTTCGATAACCCGTTATGATGCTGATGACTTTGAACTTAGTCGAGACCAATACTTGTCTAGTCCCTGATTTGCCTCTGTTCACCCTCCTTCTCCGCAGCCTGGCACGGGCTTCCTGCGATGCAAAGTCCCCTGACAAGGGCTGCAGTTCTCATGGGACCATCTTGTTCGCGGCTTCAATGCTCTGCTCTACTTGCTGGGCTAGCACCAGATGCCACGGCTCATTCAACATTCGGTTTCTACACCCAAAAGCTGCAGAACGTGCGCCGGCGTCTCTGCTCGCGCCCATGACGCGTCACTATCTGGCTCAAGTCCTGGCGGATTCAAGCTCACGATACCGCGTGGACCGCGAGCACCGTATGCGCCTATTTTGACGCCAGTGGAATCGACATAGCGCGTGCGAATGATAGTTTCTGGCCTGGCTGGTGGTACAGAGAATCGGTGGACACTGGGGATCTCGACCTCGTCCACTGGTGGTTGACACATGAACATATTCTGCCATGAGCGCCTGCCGAAGCGAGCATTGAACCTTCTGTGATCGTCCTCTGCCATGAAGCCTTTGTCAGATACGATGTGGTACATCATCGGATTTGCGATTCGATTGGCTTTCGAGTCGCCTGTCGGCTTTGCAGTCGGGCGGAAAAAGAGTCCTTTCTGAAGGCTTGGAGAAGTATCGATCATCTGCTTCCACGCCTTGCAGACTTGCAGACTAGAGGCACGCTGATGAGAAGATCTTGATTTGGAACGTGCAACAGCACGCGCTCGAGAAGCTCGGCAACATCGAAGACTCTGTAGCTCGTATGCAGCTCCTGCTGCAGCAATTCAGTCAGCTGGTGGCAGAGATAGTGATGTTCTCCACTAACCTCGTCCGCGGCCATGTCGGACACCGGCTTGGACTCGCTGGATGCTGCCATTGTCATTTTTGGTGTTATGTAGGAGAGACGTCTTGAGTTCAAAGTTTTTCCTTAGTCGAAGGCGCCTGAAGCGAAGTGACGTTGCAGCTACGGCGCTCATCGTTTGCACCTGCCTCATGCCAGCAGCAAGTTCGCCTCTGGGCTCACTCACCTACCGCGTTGTATGACTTGCTTTCCGTGTGAGGGTATGCAAGTCCTCGAGATCACCCCTCAAATTAGCTTGGAAACAGTACGTACCGCAATATAAGATCCGACAGTCTGTTGCACGTGTGACTTCTTCATCTTGTATACTGTACACTTCTGCCTCTTTCTCTATACCTGTATGCTTGCCGGCTTCAATGCTCACACTCACACTTCTATACCTCCCCCACTCACTGCTCCCACTCACAACCTCTTCGGCCTCTCATCCCTCGCATGCCCCTTCCCAACCATAACATCCTTCACCCTCTGCTCAAACGCCTCAATCATCTTATCCGCAACCTTTGGCGCCGCCCCTCCAGCAACAGCCGCATACAACGGATTCGAAAACTGAAACTCAATCGCCAAATTCACCTCCGTCTTATGCTGACTCGGCACCGGATTCGTCTCTTCCGTATTCCTATGCGCATTCTCCTTATCCACCGCACTCGTCGGCGGAGGTTTATACGGATAAGGCTTCAACGACCACCTCGTCAACAAATGCGCCATGACCGTATCCGTCCTGCTCGGATCCTGATCGGCATTCTCAGGTCGAGGACTATGGTGTGCGATTTCATCTCCGGAGAGTGTGCTTTTCATGTTTCCTGAGACTGCTTCGACGATTTTGCCGGGGACGCAGTAGACTCTTGAGGTGAATTCTTCTTTGATTTGGTCGTTGAAGCCGATGACTAGTTTGGCTTCTTCGGGGTATTTTTTGCCATCTTGAGCTGTTGGGGCGGAGTATTTTGTTACGATGCTGCCTTGGCAGAAGGGGAGGAATTGGCTGTAGGATGCGACGTCGGAGATGATTTCGTAGATTACGGCGGATGGGTAGGGCAGCGTGCGTTGGGCTGTGAGGGTTTGATTCGAGCCGAATGGGTTGGTGTTTCCGCCTGAATCGCCGAAGAAAGCTCGTTTTTGCTGTTTCGCGTGCGTGGGAGTTCGTGGTGTCGCGTTGGCTAAGCAGGCAGCTCGGCAGCTGTAAGCAGGTGTTCGTGAGCTGGCATTGAGCAGGGCAGAAGTGAGAGGCCGTATCGACTTCATGATCGCGATAGCAAAGGAGTTGGTGCGCGTTGAGCTATGTAGCAGACTCTATTTGGCGTCAAAAAGGCCTCCTGATGTCAGCATGCACTCCGCGACGCTTCCGCCAAATTGTCTATAGCAGACGTTTGGATGCATCATCGACATCATGATTCGCGAGGAAGCTTTCGTATTCCCACATTTCTCGGCTTCGCTTAGCGCCAGGGCTCCCGGTACCGGCGCTTAGCGCGGCTGTAATGCTGGAATAAGCGAGCTTTAGCGCGGGTTGAGTGAAGCTCACTTGATGAAGACCATTTTCTGCTGCCAAGAACACGTCAACGAATGGTCTTTTGCAATGGCAGCCTCTGGTGATCAAAATGTCGAGATGCCGTTGCGGCAGAAGCAGCCGAAAGCGCAACTCACGAAAGGCATGGAACACATCCGAAAATATGTGACTGTGCAGGAAACAACGCCCACAGATCAAGCGACAGCAGGGGAGGATGCATATGGAGTGCCCGCCACATACGAACCTATTCGGAAGCCAGCGACGGACTCGAAGAACAATCCGGAGAAGCGGAGTGATCCATTCCAGTTCGGCTCTCGATACCTGGAAGAAGGCGACGACATTTTCGCACACAATGCATGGGACCACGTCGCTGTCGATCCGGAATACAACGACTTCATTGAGCAGCAAACGATATTTCAACGAGAGAACCAGGTGTCTGATTTCGACAAGAAGCGATTCAACGAGAAGCCAGAGAAGTGGTGGGATAAGTTCTACAGCAATAATCAGGCCAATTTCTTCAAGGACCGAAAATGGTTGGTGCAGGAATTTCCTATTCTTGGCGAAGTCACGCAGGAAGGCTATGGGCCCGTTACTGTGCTCGAGGTGGGCGCAGGCGCCGGGAACACAGCTTTTCCAGTGCTGGCGAATAATCGAAATGCTGAATTGAGACTGCATGCGTGCGACTATAGCAAGAAGGCGATTGAGGTGATCAGGTCTCAGCCAGCATACAAGGACCAGGAGACAGCTGTGCTCCAGGCTGATGTGTGGGACGCTGCGGGGACAGAGTTACCACCAGGACTCGGAGCAGAGTCCGTGGACGTGATTGTGATGATTTTCATCTTCAGCGCTCTGGCCCCCGATCAATGGGCGCAGGCCGTCGAAAATGCCTATCGACTGCTCAAACCTGGCGGGGAGATCTTGTTTCGCGACTACGGCCGCGGCGATCTCGCGCAGGTACGCTTCAAAAAGGGACGCTACCTAGACGAGAACTTCTACTGCAGAGGCGATGGAACACGCGTCTACTTTTTCGAGGAGCAGGAATTGAGAGACATCTGGGAGGGCCGCCGGCAAACGCAGGCACCGAGCGGGCGTGACGGCCACGATGGTCAAGCTCAGGGTAGTGGTGTCATCGAGGGCTCGATAAAGGATGCAGCCCGGTTCGACATCGTCAACCTCGCTGTAGATCGACGCATGCTCGTGAATCGACAGCGTAAGTTGAAGATGTATCGTTGTTGGATGCAAGGACGTTTTCGCAAGCCTGTTGACGAGGACAACGTCGGCGCGCGAAGCAGGATCTTCCGCGACGGTGATGGGGCGCGGGAAGGAGGTGCCGTCCCCGTGCCGTAGAGTCCACAGAAATGCCAAGAAAATGCACCACCATCGCGATGCACCTCTTGTCATTTTCATGGTGTGCTGCAATAGGCTCCGCCGACGAGATATTCGAATGTAGGGCATGCGTCTAACAAAGGGGCAAGCGCGAGCTGCAGCTGCCGCGGTGGTTCGAGAAATTAGCCTTCTTGCTGCGCCGTAGGGCTGCATTGTCGGGCACATCAGTGGCTGGGATCTCCACTGTCCCTCTTTGCCTGGCGATTCGCGAAGCGCGGCGGCCCATTGGCTAGCAGTGGAGACAGTGTTTTGCCTGCTGTACCGAGAAGGAAGTGCGTGCCAATTAAATTGTTTCCGATGAAGCAGACTGGGCATAAATTTCAATGAAGCGGGCACCTTCTTGTGAAATGCCTCGCTCTCGTCTTTCCCTTTCTCTTCCTTCGTCTCGCACTCTTTGGCGGTCGACTTGAATCTCCCAATGGTTGCTGAGCTGGTCCAGGAGCAGGGTTCGCTCCGAAACATGTTCGTCGTGACGCTGACATCTTTCCACGGTCGACTTCACGTCCGCGACGCCTCTGTTCCACTCTGGCCCTCAGATCGCAGAAAGAGCCATCGCAATGACCTGCATTTGGCAGGTCCGAGGTTCGGTTGCGACGTCCGAGTGAAGGGAACTGCCGCTTGAACATAGCCGATCCAAGGTCACGGTGAGACATGGCGCATTCATCGCGATCTTCGTCCACGAAATGCAAAAGCAAGGGAAGAATTTTACCGAAATATCTATTGTCATACGAAGCTGTTGCTCAAGCGAAAGAAGGTAAGAATCGAAGCCATCGTTACTACCATCCGGCGCGAGCCGGCGCAGCAGAATCGCACCCACTCCAACGAGGTATTACCTTCCATGTGCTGCGAGACACCTGCCCTCTATGCGACCAACCGAAACCCACGTGCGCCGATCCAGATACCGAGAAAATGGCACCTAGCTAGCCAGCGGCAGCACGATGCATATGCGCTGGAACCACCCACTGTCGACTTCAACTGGTTGGGATCGGCGCAATGGCAACTGCGAAACGGTCAGTATGTTCTTCAACTCGCGCGATGGGCTCACAACAGCGCAGTACACTCACCTCCCAGAGCTGTCAAGATCCGATGCAACACGGTGATGAACTCTCCACTGTCGCGTGGCCAGCCTGCGGTCCCGAGCACATGATACATATCACGATGTACACCCGCCCAATCCTCCTGTCGGGCGTGGAACAATCCCGCATAACCAGCCCCGTGTAGTCGACGCAGAACCTCCAAACACTGCAACCAGCTGGCCTTGAGCGCTGCGAAGCGAAACAGGAGGTTATACTCGAACTGCGTCGATCCACCGGCGTAGGACGGCGCTCCTTGCGGTCGATTACTGTCCTTGTACACCGGGAATGTTTGGAATACGCGTAAGAAGATGCCACCGAGTTGCTGCTTCGCATTGTCAGGCATACCAGGGAATTGGCGCAAAGTGTCCTCCACGGCGTGAAAGAGTCGGCGAATACTTTCGATTGTCGTATCCACATCGTTACCCCCTGCGCTATCGGGGTTGATGTACCTGCGGTACTCTTCGAGAATCGAGTGCCACCGCCGCCACATTTTGCTGGCCATTATTTCAGACCAGTCGCGCCCACCAACTGGTGCCACGGCCATGAGAGGCGCCAGGTCAGCGGCCGTTCTGTATTTTCTTGCATGTTGCATATGAATATTTCGATAGATGGTGCTGTGTAGTGTCAGTGATGTTTCTATCGATGTCGTTGCATGCTTGGTGCTCACCTCTCTAGTGACCTTCTCGTGTCTGGAGATCGAAACTCGGCCCAGCTGTGGTGAGATGGTTCGTGTATCAAGGCGAGCTTGAGGACCGCCTGCTCCACACCTCCCGTACCCTCGTCTTCGCTTTTGTCACTGTCGTCCGGGTCGTCGTCATCATCACTGTCGTCCGGATCATCTTGAGCGGCCGCTGACTTTGACGTCCGACCAGACTTTCTCGTAGTTTTCGACGATGAGGCTTTTTCTTGCCCCTTCTTCTTCGACGGCCCGGCTGAACTTCGCGCTTTCTCCCCCTTTGACGCTGCCTCCCTCTTTGCGCCAGATCTCGTGGTCACCATCTCGCTATCCCGCGATCCGGGTCTACCAAGTGCCAGTCGTCCCAGTTCTGAGGCGCCCACTGAGCTCGGAGGGCCGCGAGGGGACATGAGTACTCCTTCCGCAACCGATGCGATATTCGCAACAGATAACTCTGAGTCGTGGGCCATCCTGAGGAGGATCCGATGAGGTCTCTTGTACTGTCAGGTGGTGTTGGTATGCGGCGTAGAGTGCTTTGCCGTATGCAGGCTCCAGGCGAAGTCCTGCAGCGATGATGTTGAGGAGCTCCGAGAGCGTATGAATTCGTATGGCACAGCACAAACGCAGCGCACATCTTCCGTGTTGGCAATAAAGAAGACTACCGCGAGTCGCCGAAGTGTCGGCAGACATGACGGACGCCAGAACAAGCAACATTTCCCACGGCCCTAAGTGGACGGGACGTAACAACATCTGGGCTACTATGCTACCAGCGAAACTCGATCATGGGTGGGGGTCCATAGGAGCAGCCAGCCCGCCCGCGCCATGATCCCTTATCGTGGACTCAAGAGTAACGCCATCGTGTATAGTGTGACGGAGATCTCACCCACCCGGCCCTACAGCAACGAGAAGACTGAACAGCAGTTTCCTAGAAGAGGACGCTATAGCCGGTATTGCGGCGTTGCTGCAGCCCGCGCCGTGTTGGAGGCCATTAAACGTGATTGCCTGTGGCTCAGTGCAAAGTGTAAAGAGGCCTAGCTGAGCGGCGGCTAGGACGAGCAGAGCAGCTTCGGCTGCGAAAAAGCTGGGTCAAATGTACATGGCGAGAAAAGAGAAACTGTCATCCAGTCGCTAGAGGGCAAACGTAGAGATTGAGCCCTCACCTGACTGTTGAGAGCTGCGGTTGTGTGGGGACCAAGGTTATGGCCAGCGCAGAGCACAGGAAGCTTCTCGGTTCGACAGCCGTTGAAGCGAGAAAACTGCCGGCGGCGCGGTCAAGTGCTCACCGGTGTGTCGTGCGTGAGCGCGTGCCACGCCGGTGACCAGGCATCGTGGTGTACTTTGTAGATGGCGCAACGATCAAGCAGCCAGATCCTGGTTGTGCGGCGTGCGATGTTCTGCGATCGATGACTTCGCCTGAGGCCGACGCCAAGCCATAAGCGCCCCCAACACCAACAGCCAACATCCATTCCTCCCACGCCTCAATCTACGCCTCTGGACGCCCTTCCGCGCTGAGACCTCACCTCTTGATCCCTGCCTCATTCGAACTGCGTTGGAGTCGACATGTGCGCGCCGCAATGGACCGTGGTCTGATCTTGCCGAGAGTGGCGGCGTGATCTACCAGATGGTGTTGGTGCCGCAACCGACAGCACGCCGCAAAGTGACGATCGACCAGGCAGTAATTCACTGGAACGACTCAGATGGCGTCCGCAGCTGTGTCGTGGACCTGCGTGCATGATCAAGACGAAAGGGATAGGTCTACTGATCATGAGCACAAGATGCGATTGCTGGTTCTGCCTACTCATCTGCTACCTCCTACAAGACTCGTACCTTTCAGGACACAACACCTTCTACCTCTATCTGCCTGAGCCGGTATAGCTCGCACCTGGGAATGCGTTGAACAGGTCATTGTTGAACGATCTGAGCTGTGGACATCCGAATCTTTGTGCAAGCGGACCAAGCTGCTGCAGAGCCCAGCCGAGTACGGAACCAACAGCGCCAAGCGCAGGTGCGGCAGCATCTGGGAGACCAGCGAGAGAGGCCTGAAGGAGGAAGCAAGCACCATTGTTGCCTTCTGCGAGTGTCTGCAAATTGTACGCGCCATTGGTGAAATTCTGCAGATCAACACCAGCGAAGCTGTTCGCTGTACCCGTGTTTCCGCCAAATCGAAGAATTCCAGGATAGATGGAATTTATCGCCACCAGGTCGACAAGGACGTCCGGAATGGTGTGCGCATCAAGGGTTGCTCGACGATACCAATTCAATGGGATCCGATCGCGACCACGATTGTGCACGAAGTTTCCAGACGTGCCAGTGATCGAGAAGAATGACATTAAAGTCTCGCGTGTCAATGTGCCACCTGGAACCTCGGCGCTGTGGTTCGACATGAGATTGATGACCAGATTGTGAGCGGCTGGCGCGACAGCACCGGAAAAGGGAGCAGAGAAATAGTACGGGTTGTTGAGGATCGACCAGCGGGTATTGTAGTCGGACTGGGCTGCAGCTTCGTTGAAACCAAAAGTCTCGCCAAGATCGTACATGTGCTGGAAGGACCGAAGTTGGAGGACGCCTGGGCTTCCGTTGTTGAGATATGCATCTCCCTAAGTCGTCATTAGACTCTCGGTCACACTGTGGTCGGCTCTGGACGCCAAGCTTACTCGCATGATGGATGCGTCTCCTTCGTATTTATTGTGCGTGCCGAGGATGCCTCTGGCTGGGAACAACGGCACCGCGGGCGTGAAAGCACTACCGATAGACCATCTCTGTGTGAGAGGGTCACCCGCAATGCCCACTGCTATAATTGCCAAAAAGCCAGCAAGATCGGGAGCCATCATGTATGCCCTTCCAAGGCCATCAATAGCTAGGACGCATCATCAGCGCTGAACCAAATGTCTCTGGTGGAGAGTGACCCACCTTCGGTGATCGTTGTGATGCCATTCCTCTGGCTGACTGTCAGCTTCTGATTCACCACGATGAGAAACTGGGCAATCGTACGGAAATGAAGCCATGATTGGCCGCAGCGTTCAGACCGGGACATTGGCCACGTATGTCAGCCCCAGAGGGTGCAATGAAACGATTTGGGCCACCATCCGTGACATCGACGTATTGGTCCTCGGCATTGAATCCACTCGGTGGCCGTCCGGTGTTCGGGCGATCGAGTCTGCCTGCAGGCGCACGCGGTGGAGGCTCCTCTCGCCTTTGCAAGACTGCGCCCATCTCTGCGATGGCTGGAAAGGCCGTCGCGCATGAGAGCATGGACAGAAGCACGCCGGCTGTGAACTTCGTCATCTTGGAAGCTCCTCGTGTGGCAACCTTGATTGGCACGAAAATTGGTTTTCAGAATTGGATATGGTGTGAATGGCTATGCGACAGTTGCAAGACGAGCAGTCACACTTGAGCCAGATATATGCTCGCGGCAGAGTCGTCCATCCTTGATGTGCCCGGAATCTGACTAAAGACAATGAGGCCTTTGCCGACTGTATACCGCATACCTTGGCCTGTAGGTGCTTTATTTTCCCTACCAGTATCCTCAGTCAAGGCAGTGAATGACTGCCAGAAAAACACAACCATTCGCCGCAATAGCCTCATTTGCCGAATAATGTGGACGCTTTGAGGTTCGTACATGTACTCCTGCCTGTACTTGGAAGCTGTGTTTCCTGCATGCACGTCGTTTGGAGCCGTTCCTCTAAGACGAGCGCATCAGCAGACTTCGGGTCGAGGTCGCGGAGGAGCTACTTGAAGCCATCGTGGGACGCCACGTGCAAGGAGCGACGAATTGCAAGCGTCGAGACACTTTAGAGCAAGTAAGTGAGCCGGGTCCGTCCCCAAGAGGAAGTAGGTAACGCCTATGTATGAATCTACGCTCAGCCAGGCGTTGCTTCTATAACGCCTTTATGCTACGCTAGGCCAGAGATTCTATGGGGTTTGGCGCTTCAGAAGTGAGCTGGCCAATGGGGTGCTCCGTAATGGGCTCGCTCTCGGTGCTGTGCGCACGGACTGATTACTGATTGTGCTGCATACATATAAATGCGAGTCCCGCTCTCGGTACTGGGCGTCCTGACCTCACGGCCTGATTACTGATACAAGTGGGGAGAAGACAACGCAGGACTCCGGCTGCTCTCTGTGAGGAAGCCTCAAGCGGAGTTGGCAAGCTTCCACGTTTTCAATGTACCAACCAATGTCCAAGCATATCAGCAGGTCTTTCGTAGGAGGCTTGTAAAGTATACCGCGAAGTGCAGAATAGGAATTTGCCGATCCTGCAATTTGAACATCAATGGAAACAAACACGCATCAGATGTGGCGTGGGAAAGCATCGAGGCACGATCACCGCAACACATTTGTCGAATATGATCACTTTCTGCATTGGGACGGGGGAGATCTTTGCGTCGCGCCGGCTTTGCTGCAGGCATTGCCATGTGGTAGAGAAGAGAAGTGAGGTCCGACAACCCTTCTTACCTGCATGCTTGGTTATTGCCAGCTTCGAGCCCTGTTTCCTCTCTTCCAACCCTTTCAATGACTGCCAGAACAGTTTCTTTTTGGCATCTTCGAGCTTCGCACTGCCTTGAAAGGTCTTATGCTCCGTCTCCGCTGATACTTTCAAATGTTTTTCATTGTCTGTGGTAAAGTCTTGATCTCTTCGCAGATTGCTCCGCCAAATGACATCGATCTTCGAGACAAGCCTTGGAGTGCGAATGAACTTTCAAGGTTTTGTTTTACCACACTTGTCGCACATCCGTTGGTGGCATTCGTCCTGAGCATAGAGATCGCTGTGAAGATAAATTTCCGGCTCCTTGAAGTCGTGAAACCACCACCTACACTTGTGACTTGTCAGATTTTCTTCTTCCACTGTTGCTGGTCTCGACCATTGCTCCATTAGTGCCAGAGCAGCAGTGGCATCCTCCTTTCTCATGGTGTCTTGTGCAGGAGCTGTCAAGGGACGCATGAAACGAGCTACTCGACGCATGTCCGGTATCCGTGCTCTTTCTGATTGTCAATGCGCACTGGAAACCTGCAGGGATGCCGGCTCGTCGACGCTCTTGAACAGCTTATACAACTGTGGCTGCTTCTTACTGTTGAGGGCGCCGTGCGTTGCGCTGATCTTCACCAGGCGAGAGGAGAACGGCGGGATGGTATACTTCACTCTCTTTGACCTGCTTCCGCCAGCTGGATTGTCCCTCTTTGAGACTGGTGGTGCTGCTCTGGCGTCTTTGTTTCCCCCAAAACTGGGGCAAGAAAGATTCTGTTCCATTCGGTAGCATTTCCCGCGCCTGGTTGCTGTCACCCGATCTGAGCTCTATTAGAGACAGAATGCACGACTTACGGAAGATAATGAGGCGATTTCGTTGAGGTTGAATCAGTGCAAGTAGTGCGAACCACATCAACAGGACCGCCGCCCTCAAAAGGTCCGGTCAAACAGCAAGCGAGTCGCAGTCAATTGTTCGATAGAGTCATCAGTAAGCTATTTAGTACATCGTCCCGCTCGCGGGTCAGATCGGAAAGAGAAGCGAAGCAGCCCACAGGCCATCATCTCATCGCAAGCTGTCCGGCAGCCTGCATAAATCGTCTAATCGTAAGAACATTAATCATCGATCTGGCACATTGGATCCAAGCATCATCTCAATCGGCGGCGGTAGCGGCAGCTGCTGTAGTGGCGGTCCACTCGCTTTGACCCTCCACGCAGTCCATGCGGGAGAACCTCGCGCATACTGATCGAGCAAGTTGAGTCCGAGTCTAGTAAAGTAGTCAGTACATTCCGCACAAGCAAAATCCCTGCTGTCCCACTCACCGCCGCAAGTCTTACCTCGTCGACCCTTTGCTAAGCGCGGCGTCGAGAGACGTCTCTCTTGATGTCCGTTCCTTCTCTTTGCCGGTTCTGATGACGTGGCGCATGGAGAATGACCCCCAAGGCAGGCCTGGTTCTTCGGCGTTGTCGACGTCTTCCGGTTCTGGGGCGCAGTATGAGGCAGATGCTCGCTGTTCGTTTTCGTATCGTCGTTCTGCTTCTTCGCGTTGCAGCCGGGCCTTCTCTCCTGCCTCTTGGTCAGCGGAGTACAACCTTAACACGAAGAGAGTCTTACTGAACTTGCGTTGCGCGATGCGATTCTGGATCTTGCGGCGCTCGTTGGGGTTTGTCACGTTGCTCCAGTCGTCCTCCATGGAGGCGGCCGAGCTTGACTCTCCCGTGGACATGGCCGCTGCGTTTAGGCCCGCAAAGGCCCTCTTGTTGCATAGCAGGTAACCAACAATGAAATGTTCTCTTGGCCAGGTCGTTCTAGTATATAGATGACTCCAAGTCGATGATAACTGTCAGGCTTCGTTCCAAACAGATGCTTGAACTTTGCTTCGAAGTCTAGGTACGCAGTCACGTCTTGCTAACAAGCCAGTAATAAAATGAGTCAATGACCTCCAACCAGTGGACGCCACTCCAAGGTATAAGAAAGGACAGTGATGGAGTGCCAAGGACAGATGACTCTCAGCAAGAGCAACCAGTGCAGTATGTTAGTTGTTGGTGGCCAGACCAGAATGGAAGTGTCGATATCCAGTAAGAAGTGCAGAAGCCTTGGTGCAGGGCGATGCAGGTACAATATAGCATCTCCAGGCCCGCAAGATTGGATCACCGGAATATACATAACCTGAGCAGGAGTCATCCTTCGGGTCCTGCACTGGCGGCCAGCCCCAAGGCCATGGTCACGACCATGTGGCTAGGCCACAATCCTCTGAGGGAGGCCTCAAAGGATAATGAACGTTCGGATTTAAACTCTGATAGCATAGGACCAAAAGAGGAAATGGGTGGTGAATAGCAACGGACGAATGATCAGAAGCGGATCCGTCCCGGTAGAGACATGCAGTCAAAATAGTGTATGCAGGGTCGAAGGTCGTCTGAAGTGTGTCATATTGCCCTAGGCTCCAAGCTTAGAAGATCCGTGTTGGTATTCGCGATGCAGAGAGGTGCGAGTACGAAAGTAGGGTTAATGTCGCGATGTGGATTGACGTGACCAAGCCTTCCCGTCAAAACCGGGGGCAGCCTCACGGCCGTTACGTGACACCTCTCGCCGAAGCCGAAACGGAAACCAGGCTAGTTCCTAGGCGAAGGATCGCAAGAAGGCTGAGATTAGATTTCCCTACGATCCCTCTGAGGCTGAAACGAGTGCGAGTTATTGGAGGCTGCTGTGGTCGGGAGGATGGAGAGAGAACGTGGGAGTGGGATCTTGCGTCGTACCTGACGTGAATCAAAGCCACACAACAGATCCTATTTGCGTTTGTGCATCCTTCGCGTTGTCGAGCGAATTTGGGGCTCTTTTTTCGTGGCTATGTGTGACATCAAGCACTTTGGATGAACTCTATTGCGCGATGCAGTGTCTGCTGTTTGTACCACGTGGACATCTCTTACAGAATGGCAATGCTCTGGTATACGTTCCGGTGCCGCTCGACATTCGTCGCGTTCGTGATGGAATGAAGCGTACTCCGGGAGGCCTGAGCACAGCCTCACCGGCCGGCATGCAGAATGGCGTAATAACGGAGACTGGCTCCAGAAGGCCACCGTCATACCATCTTCCGCCATCTGATGATCGATCGCCGGAGACGGCCTGAAGATAGCGTTTCGCTTTCGCAATGACCGTGTAGATGGCGCGAGGCTCTTGAGAATGGTGCCGTGAGGTCGAGATTTGGGCATTCGGCGGGGACGACGAAGGATTTCGGAGTCGCCTAAGCAGCCAATCATATGCGCGGAAACAGACTTCACGTGGTAGACAGAATCCTTCCCGTCTGCAGATCTCACCAAAATCCCCGGCCCTACGTTCGCAGTGGCCGAAGAGAAAGACGGGCATGCGAGTGACAGGTGCATTGCATCCAATAAGCTGGTATTCAAACAGATCGCCAGGCGGCCTCTTCCTTTCGCTAGGACCGATATCAAACTCCACTTTCATGCAGACCGCTAACGCCAAACACCTTTGATCTTCACTGGGGGTAGTGGCAACAGTATCAGAAGTCCTCGTCTCCCATATCCTCATCATCATCGCCAGCCTCAATGAAGACCAAGCGTGTCCCCTCGGCGGCAGTTTGCCAGACCTGTGGCGTATCGTTAGCACCGGTACGCGGTAAATTTGGGGCCACCAAGCAAGACTTACATCAATCGTTGCGTACTCATCAATCGCGGACTCAAGCTGCTGGGCTGTGAAGCCCTTGGCAAGTACTCTTTCCCGTACTCGCCTCATGTCGAGCTCACCACGACCTTCACCAGTGGCGGCAGCACCACTGTCCCTCATGCCGCAAATGAGGTTGTAGATCTTTGTGCTCGGCGAGTGATCACCTCTGCGATCCCTATTATCGTCGTACAGACTGGCTTTGCTGACTTCGACCAGTCGCAGGGCCTCATCCACGTCCTCCGTAATGACCTCGTCAGCGAATCGCAACCTCGCAAGTGCTTGTGACAAACGGAGGATACCAAGGAGCGTTCTTGGTGAGGTGTGGGTGAAAGTCTTCTTTCCTGCCTCGTCGCGCTTCTGCTGCTGGCGCAGACGGACATATGCGCCGACAAGGTAGTCAGACACTGCCTTGGGCACAACAGGTCGGAATGATCGCGCGCGAGCGACCCACTGTCGTACCTCGTTGGGCGAGAATATTAAGCCACCTCCTTGTGGCTCGGGGTGCGCGTTGTGGATATGAACATGTGTGACGTGGCGTGCCAGCTCCTCATCTGCATCACGCGAAGGAGTGTCCAAGAGCAGGAACATAACATCGAATCTGGAGAGAAGAGCCGCGGGCAGGTTGATATTCTCGACTGGCGAGATGCGAGGGTTGTACCGCCCGTAGAGCGGGTTGGCAGCTGCCAAGATCGATGTTCGAGCATTCAGTGTCGTTGTGATACCAGCCTTCGAGATCGAGATTGTCTGTTGCTCCATGACTTCGTGGATGGCTGTTCGGTCGGAATCGTCCATCTTGTCGAATTCATCGATACAGCAAGTGCCGTTATCCGCGAGCACAAGAGCGCCGCCTTCCAATACCATCTCATCAGTGACTGGATCTCTCATGACAGCAGCCGTCAAACCGACACCACTGCTGCCTCGGCCAGTAGTGTAGACGCCTCGAGGCGCCACTTTCGTGATGTACTTGAGAAGCTGCGACTTGGCCACTCCCGGATCACCCATGAGACAGACATTGATGTCTCCACGGATGCGCATGCCATCTCCCATCTCTTTCGTTACACCTCCGATCAACTGGAGCAGGAGCGCTTTCTTGACATCTGCATGGCCGAAAATTTCTGGAGCAATGGATCTGCTGAGGTATTCGTAGAGCTGACCCGAGCGCTCGAGTTCTGTCATGCGTTGGATGGTCGTTGGTGCGAGAACCATGTCGTCGTACGCCTTTTTGTGTTGGTGTACGTATTGGGCTTCCAGATACGTGTCTGTGAGGAGGCCGGCCTTAATGGCCTTGAATCCGGTATAAGGGGTGGGGAGGAATATACCAGCAATGTCAACGACGTCTCCAGGGTTGACAGATCGAACCAGCTCCCCGTGGCAGTGCACTGTGAGTTGCCTAGGGATGTGACCAACAGGCACTTGGTCGGCCATCTCTTGAATCTTGACCTCCTGGAATGGCAAGAATTTAGAAGCTCTGGTAGACAAGAACAATGTGCCCTTCGCCTTATTCTGCTGGCAGTCCTCTGAGGTGCATTCCACTAAAGGCGTGAATTGCTTCGACGTAACGGGCTGAAAGATCTCATGGCCGCAACGGTCGCAAGAGTAGGCATTGACTTGCACTGAGGGCTTGACATCCGAGACACGGGTTGCGATACCTCGAATTGTGATGAGATGCCCAAGATGCTCACCGCGGACCTGACGGACTGCCAGAGCCTTCGAACTCTTCTGGCTGCTTGATCCGGACGGAGTCACTGGCTTAAAGTTGAGCGTGTAGCGTCTTGTAAGCTCAGGAGGGAAGATCGACTCTGGAATGCCATTCTCGTCACCGCCCGCCTCCTGCTGCTGCGCGACAGCTTCGTTCCGTTTTGAACGCTGGCTCATGATAATGTCGAGCACATCGTCTTTGAAATTTGGTTCAGTCGCAGGCCGAGGCAAGACTGAGTCCACTGCGCGCGAGAGAATCTCAATGTAGTGGTTCGCGTTCTTCTCTATCGACGAAACCAGCCTGAGCTGTGAAACACCTTCCTCGTCAAGGCTCTTTTCATACTCGCTCAGGTCATCGAGATCTATTAAGACCTGACTCGTCTTTCGGTCTGCGACATCCTGCAGCATATTCATATATTTCGCTTTTGATCGCGTGCTTCGTCGTCGCGCGTTCGAGCCGTTTTCTGCGTCGTCCATGAAGTCATACTCGTCGCTCGTCGCGTCTCCGTCGAGGTGGAGGTCGTCCAGCGCATCCTCTGCTTCGGTGGAGGAGGACTTGAAGTTCTGTAGGAAATCCTTGAAGGCCGCTGCTCCGTGTCAGTCGCAAGCTAATTGACATGCTGTATCATCACGTACCAGTCTGCTCCTCGTAGTTCACGAGATTCTTGTACTGTAGAAGAGCCATGTTTGCGCGCGACTGGCGCCTTGCCCGCTCTTAATCTGCCTCGGAGTGCTATCAATGCGCTTCCAAGTCGTAGTCGTTTTAATTCCAGTGCTCCGGTCTATCTCGCTTCGTGGTCCTTCGTGCGCAGGGCGGCGAATTGGCGGTTGTAGTTTGGATGAATGGATGGCTGGAAGAACGCGCTTGAGAAGGAACGAACGCGACGCGCTCACCGATCAGGTTAGCGGCTTGGCGTCTCCGGCGGTAAGAAATCTTCCTTCTGGCTTTTGCACCACTTCTCTTCCACAAATTATTGAACAACGCAAAAAACCAACACTGCCGAAAAGCATTTTGCTCGAGAGCCCGCTACGTTCGCGTAGTGGAGGCTCCATGACAGCGAAATCGTTGAGCTAGTGGAGAGGGATTTCAGAGGATCTTGGGTGCCGTTGGCTTCTTTACACCGTGGAGTTGAGGGCAATGATCAGCTGTACATGCCACCTTTTTGGCTAAGGCATTCTTGAGTGTGCTCCTACTGGAAACTCGTCGATGGATGCGACTTCCGCCCAACTGGTGCAATACTTCGGAGCTGGAACACGATGCTTCGTGGCTGCCACCTTGGCCCACCTCACAATATAACAAGGCGTCCGAGCACAACTAAGCCAGGGAGATTGGCTCCATCGGCTCGAGTCGTTCGCATAGTGAAGAAGTAGGCTCAGACAGTGGAGGCTCTTGTCCTCAAATGAACGACTTCATCTGCTCGTTCGACTAACATTGCCTTGTGCCAATGGCTGTTGACCGATCTTTGCGCCTGGTGCCAAACTTCTAAGTCTCGATTGTTCAGCATCCGCTTCTCATCACTACAAAAGAATAGGCGTCGCTGCGCTGAACACATTCTAGCTGAGGGAACTTTGCATTGCGTGATCATGGGCTCAATCTCTGAATCTTCCACTCCCCATTGTCGCTCTTCACGTATTGAAACCGATCATGCAGTCTTGAAGGCCGCCCCTGCCAGAACTCCATCGTCTCCGGCTTCACTCTTAGTCCACCCCAGAAATCCGGTACAGGAAATTTCTCCTGATCCTGAAATCTCGACTCAACGTCCTTCACCTGCTGCTCCAGCTCTTCTCGATTCTTCAACACAGAGCTCTGCTGACTCGCCCATGCACCGAGCCGGCTCCCACGTATTCTCGTATCATAGTAGACCTGTGATTCCTCTGAGGTGAGGCGTTCGACAGTGCCTTCCACTCGCACTTGACGCTCCAATTCATGCCACCAGAACGTCAGTGCAGCGTGAGGATTCGAAGCAATATCTGCTGCTTTGCGAGAGGTGCCCCAGTTGCTGTAAATGACAAATCCTCGATCGTCCATTTCTTTGAGATAGACCATGCGGGCTGAGACCTTTCCTGATGGTAATGAAGCTGTTGACAAAGTAACAGTCTCAGGCTGGTAGACGTTTGATTCATTGGCATGCTTGAACCACATGTCGAATTGCGTGAAGGGATCCGGGTGCAGTTGGGATTCTTCTAATGACCCTTTGGTATATTGGTCCGCTTGCAGTGAGCCATTGGTGCCGCCTGGAGCGAAAATATGCTTCTGGGTGGACATGGTTCTTGTTTTGGTGATCGAGGCGAGGACTTGCGTGTTCGGAACTCGTAGTCGGCGTAGCATCGAGTGTGGTTTGTACTTTTATGCTGATGACTCCGATGCGAGCTGGCGAGATGATCTCACCATCGTTGTCCAGACTTTGCCAAGACGCCGGGATCGTGGCTTTCGCGACTCCGACGCGTTCCTTCTCTCACGACAACAACAATGTGCATCGCAATGCCGCACCATGAAGAGGAAGCGACCGAGCAGAACAGCTCAGCGCGCAAACAAAAAGCAAAAGCTCCTCGCACAATTAACGGAGCGACCTTCGCATGCACTTCTCGAACAGTATTATCCTCAAGTTGTAACTCTGCGCCAGTATCTCGCGTCGCGGTTGCCGAAGAAGCGACGAAGGAAACTGCAGCATTACGGACGAGATGCCACTGCAAAGGATGATAGTCCACTACTTGATCTGCTCGATACCACTCTTGTTGGATCCTTCAAGCATGTTCAGGTGGACGACAGCAGCTTCGTTGATGATGACATTTCACTATTCACACAGCAGATTTCAGAGAATGGCACTGCTCCGTCTTTGACTCCAGGCAAGTTGAAGCAGCCTGAGGTAAGCAGGGTTGTCATTTCGTATCATCAATCGCTCATTCCAAAATCGTTCTCTTAATGATACTGATCCACTACAGATTGTCGACTATGCGATATGGAAGCTGTTTCGCAAGCAAGCAAGTAACCTGCGGCTGCAGCATCTTCTTTGCCAGAACTATCAGCGATACCTCAGTGTGAATGACAGTGGTCCAGGTCCCGAGATAGTTCCCGGAATTCCTGGCGTGTATTCGAATGGACCTCACGAGAATGTCGACACTTTAAGAAGCCACCCTTGGACAGCAGTCCCAGATGTGCTGGGTCGCGGGGCTGAACGCATCGTGGCGGATATGCTGATGGAATGCGGTCTTTTCGCACCGATCGGAGATGCAAGTAACTTCGTGCAGATCTCTGGCGTGCCGATGAGCGACCTCCCAGTACTCGCGAACAGTTCGAAAAGCACCACATCCGTGAGTGAGGTTCAGTATGGAGTACCTTCAAACGAGCCAAGGCCGCAACGTAGCAAGCGCAAACTGACTGAGATACGCTTCCTGCGCCACCGTATGCTATATGCGCAGCCGATGCTCAATGCCAAAGGCTACGCGCGTTTCGGGCTGCATCAGACACACGCCTTCAATCGCTTTTCTGATATCCAGGACAGAAGCCAGACGCACCATTTGATGAAGTACATCTTCCCACTGCAATTCGGACTGCACAACGTTCTCACATCAGACGTGGATCACAAGGAGACCGCTTATGCGTTCAAGGACTACACCATTCGCGAGAAGGAAATTGCTAGACTGCATCGCGCTCGACAGCAGAAACGGCCAGCCGGGAACGAGATTGGGCAGGCTCGGCGTCCAGCATTACCAAAGCGACTACGAGGAGCGGCAGAAGTACTAGTGGCACGAATTCGGAAACGACATATGAAGTGCGCCTATTCGGCTCTGTTGGAACACTACTGCCCAAGACACAATACACCAGCTCAGGGCCAGCAAAACTCGCTGGACCGTGCCTGTAGCCTCGCCGAAGTGTCCTCCTTCTGCCGTGCAGCGGTTATGAGGGTATTTCGAAAGGATCTATGGGGCACGGGTGAGGCCAGTTCGAGCAATGTGAAGGTTCTCCTTTCCAACGTCGACACCTTTGTCCGCCTACGCAGGTATGAGACCTTGAGCCTACATGATGTAGTGCAGAAGATGTCTCTGGATGTCGACTGGCTCCAACCACAGAACCAGGACCGGGGAGCGCGCCTCAGCGCTACCGATTTTGCCAAAAGGAAGGAGTTGATGTCCGAGATATTGTACTATCTCTTCGACTCATTTCTCATTCCACTGATCCGGGGCCATTTCCACGTCACCGAGTCCAACGGTCAGCGTAATCAGCTCTTCTATTTCAGACAGGACGTGTGGAAAGCACTGTGTGAGCCTGCCATGGAGTCTTTGAGAGTCGACATGCTCGAGCAGTGCAAGAATGGATACGACAGCACTTCGACTAGACAACTTGGCGTCAGCCATGTGCGTCTCGTGCCAAAAGAGAGCGGCATGCGTCCGATTATCAACCTGCGACGACGGATACAGAAGATGCAACATGGCCGATTGGTACTAGGCAGAAGCATCAACAGCCTACTGACACCAACCTTTAGCATATTGAACTATGAGAAAGCTCGAGGCCGGCACAATCTTGGCTCTGCGCTTTTCTCTGTCGACGACATCTTCCCGCGACTACAGAGATATCGTCAGTCATTGCAAGATAAAGGCTTACTCGGCGAGGCACTTTACTTTGCGAAGGTCGATGTGCAAGGTTGCTTTGACAGTATCCCTCAAGATCGCTTGATGGAACTAGCCAGGCTAATCATAAACGACAACGAGTACCAGATCTCCAGGTATTCGAGAGCGAAGCTTCTTGGATCACACAATAAAGAGACGCCTGGCTTTGGGACGAAACCATCGTGGAAGTTCTTGACCAAAGCAGGATCAGCTGACAGACCGTTTGACTTTCGAGACGAGGTCAAAGACGACATAATAGAAGGCCGACGACGAGCAGTGTACATCAATGGACTCGCACCAAAGCGCGAAAGCCGACAAGCCGTCCTTGCATTGCTCCAGGAACACGTCCAGTCCAACTTGATACAGATCGGTAAACGGTTATACCGACAAAAGAAAGGCATACCGCAAGGCTCAATCATCTCCAGTCTGCTGTGCAGCTACTTCTATGCTGATATGGAGCGTGAAGTGCTTGCTTTTCTTGACGATGGCAAGAGCATCTTACTTCGCTTGATAGATGACTTTCTGGTCATCAGCACAGATCGGGAGGTAGCAGAGCAATTCATGCACACAATGCATGCTGGTGTCGCAGAGTATGGTGCGCACGTAAGGCTGGACAAGAGTCGTGCAAATTTTGATCTCGAAATCAATGGCAGCGCCATTCCGAAGACGACTGCAATCGAGTTCCCGTACTGTGGAAATGCAATCGATACGCGGACCCTCGACCTCACCAAGGACCGCGAGAGGCGGAAGAAGACAAGTAGGTTCACTTACCTTCATGCAGGTCCTTTGCTAACATTGTATGCAGATATCGCTGACTCCGTTGCTGTCGAGTACACCAAGCTACCAGGTCAGACGTTCTATCGCAAGCTCTTGAAGTACGCCTCCACGTTCTGCTTCAGATGACACGACTGACAAGCTCCCAGTGCATTGAAGCTGCAGATGCGAGCAATGCTACTTTCAACCTCATACAACTCACCCTGCACTGTACTGACGAACCTCTACCATATCTTCGTTGAAGTTGCCCAGAAAAGCTATCATTACATCCGATCGCTTCCACATGGCAAGCAACCGCCCGGCAAGCTTACGATCAGTATGTGCGCTAAATGTCTGCCATCGAATGACATGCTGATTCGAATACAGGAGCCATTGACGACATGGTCAAGCTCGCTTGTGTTCTCATGAAACATCGGAGGCGGACGAGCAAAGACGTCATACCATATGAGTGCTGCATTACAGGAGCACAGGCGCGATGGTGAGTGCAACTTCTCAGACACGCTGCAGCCATCACCTACGACCTGCGTTTGGGGACTTCTCCCACGTGGAACGTGTGTGAATCCAACTGACATTGCTGCTCATAGGCTCGCCTGCACGTCATTCGTCATGGTGTTTGGTCGCCGCCAGACCAAGCATCAAATGCTGCTTGCTTGGTTAAAGGTTCAGCTGGGATCGCCTGCTCTACGAGCCCAGGCACATTTATTGCAGCCTGTTGTCGTCAAGTATGGTTCTGTCTAGCGATTGGCATGTCGACGAGATGAGACTTCTGTGCTGTTGTCTCCTTCGGCAAAGGAGTAGAATTGGCTGGGACGAGCTGTATAGGAGATCAGCGGAGCATTTTTGCCGCCAAGGCAGATCTTGGTAGGCGCCTGCCTTGGTTCATGCGGGTGTGGTGACACTTGATGAATGGCAGGCATCATCGCACAGGCGGCTCCAGGGTGCTGTGGTGCAAGCTCGCACAACATGTCCCTCGCGGCACGCCCTGATTTGTGTCTGCGTTTCCAGAGCGGAGATTGGCTGCAGTGAAGATGAAACCGGTGGCTGACCGGCTGAATCAGAGCAGCGCATTGACAAGCACGCCCGCGGCCAAGCGCAGGAGCTCTGTCTGCATGTACTGCTGCAGGTCGACGATAGCTTTGCAGGAACCTGTACTTCGTATGCCCACTTATCAGAGGCATTGTACTTGATGATGGTAGGCGCCATCGTCGATGGCTTGCCGCGCTGAACGGCTTGTCCCAGCGGATGAGGCAGAGCAGGATTGATGAGACGATTGCATTTGTTAGACGCCTTCTCTATTCCACTCTTGCGCAACACCTTCATCACCGACTTCCCATTCGGCGCAAAATCGGCACGGGAGTGGTGCGGGCACTCGATCGCATCTGTCGCTTCTGCAGCCTTCACTCGCCTGTGCCTCAACAATCGGTGGGAGAAGCTTCATCATTATTGCCGCAAGCGGACGGCGGAGGCTTTCCCGGTTTTTTCGGTCGATACGGATACGGCCAACGAGGCTGGTCAATGACGCCGCCGCCGTGCACCGCTACAATCGCATTGTCTGCGCGAGACCTCCGCCGACAACAGCACCACCGCCCATCTGCACCGACAATTCTCCACGCGGCGGGCAAGTCATCCCAGCATCGAACGGAATCTCGACTCGCGTCAAAGTCGCCGGGTGAGAGATCGTCGGCTCCGCGCCTGGTTTTGCGCGTCGTCATTGGCCCAAATCGCAATTGCGAGTCCCACTCGACCAGGATCGCTTCTCCTGCTGGTCAGGAACAACCATGGCCGCTGCTGCCATTGTTGCTGAGCCTCCCTGGCCCGTCCCTACAGCAGCAATCATAAACAATATTCGCCAACGAAATCACCACCGCCACCCTTCCGCGCCGCACCACGACACTCCGCTGTCCGCTGCCGGCTTCGACGTCGACGATAATTATTATTCCTCCCACCACCACGACTGGGCCTACGATCAGGATCACGATGCTTTTCGCGCCGTAATCCCATCTGAGACCAAAGTGCAACGCCGAACCCTTCGAAATAACAGTCACCGCAATTCTCTACGCACACCACCGCGCCGGTCGTCGCATGGGAGTGGAGTGGGAATAGCGCTGCCCAGGAGCGTCGCGGTGCCGAAAGGCAGGGTTCATCGGAGTGTCAGCCTGCCAGGTGTGGGTGATAAGACCATGGCCAGCATCACAGTAGAAAGCATCGCCGAGGAAAGCGTGCCAAGTTCTCCGCCGGAACTGAGTTATTCGAAGTCGTCGAAGAGTAGTTCTTCCCTCACTTCAGATGACGAACTATGTGTTAGTGGTCAAGAGGGCGGTCTGTCCAAGCACGGGCACTTTGAAGAAGTGGTGCTGGAAGAAGAAGGTGGCAGTGATGACAGGGAGGACAGCAATCTCCCGCCGGATTCCAGACCAACACTGCGCCGCCCACCTCCCAAATCCCTGACCACGGGCGCGGTAGCACGCAGACGCAGTGGAACAGGAACAAGCCCACCTCCGCGGCCATTGACGAATGGCGTCCGACAAGCCAGATATCCATCTCTGCAAGGCGCTGTGAGTGGTGCCTTGCGAGATCAGAGCCTCAACCTACCTCACGGGCGGAGCATGCAACGCGCTGTCTCTAGTCCAACTTTGACGCACATGCACCATCAAGCTCAGCGCTTCCCTTCGCGCTCGCCCAGTCCGAACAAACCGTACGCGCAGAATGGTCAATGCAGCTCACCGCAAACCATAGCCGGCTCGACACCGAAGGCATCCTACGAGTCTCAAGGTTCGGCCTCGCGGCGACCATCGTGGCAGCCGAGCAGAAAGAGCACGAAGGAGCTCGAGGCAGAATACAACGACGAGGACGAAGACGTCCCCGAGGACGCCATTTTGGAGAACGTGCCTATATCACCACTGCCAGGTCACTACACGGTACCGCTCTCGCCGAACCCATTGCCAAGCGGCCACCGATCTACGACACCTAGTCCGAATCGAAGACCAGGGCCACACGCGAATATGCACTCTGCAAACATACCCAAGGGCGCAAAACGTCCCAATGGGATGCCTCGATCGCCGAAGTACCCACACCGCCCCAAGATACCGCACGCGAATACCGTGGCAGCCATTCCGATGGATCCGCGAAGCCGACAATTTAGAAGCAAGTCGTGGACGGAGGATCTGAACTACGAAGCTCGGGAGCTGTCGCAGAAGCTGGAAGAATATGCTGAGCGTCTGTCGCAAGAAAAGAGGAGCGCATCAAATTCAGGGACAAACAGCGCCGCGAGCAGCCCACCACGATCGAGCTGGTCGAAGCCAGCGGGAACGGGATCGAGCCTCCCCAGCGTTCCAAGTGGACTGCCCCCTTTGCAGAAAGGAAACATCATGATTGACCCCTTACCCATCAGCAAGGAGAAGGAGGCCGTTCTCAGCAGAACACGGCCGTCATGGTTGCCTCCTAAGGATCCGCAAGAAGAGAAGAAACATCTGAAGGAATTTCAACAGATGATGGCCAGAGCTGCAGAGGCAGAGAAAAAGCGCGCCTTGAAAGAGCAAAGTAATCGCGAAGGCAAAGAAGAGATGCAAGGCAGTATTGCACGAATATGGGAGCAACACGTCCTGCCTAACTGGGACGCGGTGGTCAAAGAACCACGAACTAGAGAACTCTGGTGGAGAGGCGTCACACCAAGCGCGAGAGGAGAGGTCTGGTCCAAGGCCATTGGGAACGAGCTCGAGCTCTCGAGTGCTTCCTTTGAGGCTGCTCTTGCGAGAGCACACGCGCTCGAAGCGAAGATTGCGGATATGAATGAAGAAGAAAAGGCCGATTCGAAAGAGGCTGCCTGGATGGACGCTATCGCCCGAGACGTGCCCAACACGTTCCCGGAACTCAAGGTGTACCAAGATTCACGTGGGACTCTGTATCAGAGTCTGTCCGATGTCCTGAAAGCGTATACGATGTACCGCAGCGATGTGGGCTACGTGTACGGAACGCACCTCGTGGCCGGCATCGTGTGTCTGCAACTCCCGGCCGCGGAAGCATTCGTGCTACTGGCCAATATGCTCAACCGACCTCTTCCACTGGCTTTCCTGGTCCACGATCAGCCGGCCATGGGAAGAGCCTACGAGCTCACACTGCAAACGCTCAAATATAAATACGCTCGCCTCCACGACCACCTCACTTCACCACAATTGGACATCAGACCGGAAGAATATCTCGACCCTATGTATCGCTGTCTCTTCGCCTACAATCTCTCCGCCGAGCACGTATCCCGCATCTGGGATATCTTTGTTTTCGAAGGTGATCGGGCGCTGGTTCGTGCCGCGGTCGCCGTTCTGGCGCAGCTGGAGAGCAAGCTTTATGGATCGAGAGAGGAAGTGTTGCAGCAAATTGGGTGGATGAACCTGGAAAGATGGCCTGTCGCGGCTGGAGATGGCTTTATCGAAGCTATGCGCGAGGCTGGAAAAGTTGATCGGAGGGGAAGCGCTTAGAGAGCTGCTAGTACTGATGCAAGAGACGGGAAGCGAATTCGAAGCGGAAAGAATCGCTATGGGAGTTTTGTATGGAGACGAAGGCATCGCAATCTGATGAAAGCGAATCTCCGGCCTCCGGGCGCTCTATCTGACGAGGATGAAGCTGCCCGTTGCGATCCCGGAGCATCTTCTCTTCTGGCGGAAGGTAATACGCATTTCCGGTCCCCCGGAATCTCGCGCCCTCCCGTGGTCAGCGCTTCTGCGAGTAGAAAGAGCTTCTGCGAGTAGAAAGAGCTTCGAGCTCGCAGGGCCTGGTCCCGATGACGGGAGGAGTGCGGGACAAAGTTCTTCCTCTGTTTCTTCCCTATGGGAGGGATTTTGGAACATGTGGTAACTTCGCACTTGCCCACATTGACATAATCGACGACTTATGTCTGCTTTTTTGCTTTGTTGGAGAGAGAGAATGAAGTTGGATCCCCTTTCGAGGATATCTTCCTTCCGCGCGAAGACAGAGAGCGTGGAGAGGCTAATACACATCATCCACTGCATGCAGAGCGAGAACGGAGAGCAGCAAGATGCCACTCTCATGCTGTCCGGGTCGGAATTATCGCATCGAGCGCGCGCATCCATGAGTTTCAAGTCTGCTGACTGCTTGGATCGCATTCGACTTGGCTATATCTGGTCTTTCTTTGGTTTGGGATGTCTCTTTGGAGAGCTGGTACATTCACATTTATTTCATCATTCGCACTACTCATCACGGAGACGGAAATTATGGAATTCACGGCCTATGTTGAACTTTTTCGGGGAGGATTGTCGATGGCGGACAGAGAGAACGAGTATTGTTTAGTTTGTAAGAAGATTGAAGGTGGTGAGGTGGGAGGACGGGAGGAGAGGAAGCAGCATGAGAGCATTACTACCTGAGATGAGAGGCTGAGGATCGAGGAGAGAGAAGTACATACGTATTGTATAGAAAGGAACATTCGACGAAGAAGTTGATTAATTCACATTTCTGGTAATTTGAGGCAAGCTGATGGATTTGAGCGCAGCTGTATTCATTACATCTCTGCTCAGCGGCTAAACCCCGGCTTTCTTCCAACTCATTGCGGCACAGTGCAAGCTCATAGCTCACCACGGATACAATCGAACATCACTACGACTACCCGTCACAGCTACCAGATTCGAGAAGAAACAATCACAGCCTGGATGGAAGTAGGCCATGACTCCAATCAATTCGACATCGCACCACCACGAAAGACAAGAAGTAACGGACCCAGACAACCACCTTACCACAAATTCACAACATACATCAGATCCGAATCAACCCCAATTGCACACCCTCTCCCTCCTCCTCGAAGGTCCTGGCGAAACTCCTCAGCATCGAACTCATTGGTCTCTCACCCTTCATCCTAATACTTCGTCCCCTCCAAACCATTCCACACTCGGCACTATCCTTCAAGTCTTACCCATCTCTCTAGATCCTCTATTCTATATCCAGGATATACGATATGATGTACCGATATTACCTAAAGGATGCGAGGGGTCGATACCTTTGAATAGCAATTTGAATTCGGAGGAAGTTAGGAGGGTTATTGAGATTGTGGAACGGGAGGCTGCGCCGAGGGATGGAGTGGAGAGGTGTCAGGATTGGATTTTGAGGGTTGTGATTGGGTTGGAGAGTGAGGAGTTGGTGGATGGGGGAGTGGCGGAGAGGGTTGCGGGGTGGGTTGGGAGGTCTGCGGGGGAGGTGA